AATGTGTCACTTCATTTAGTATCATGCAAGAACATTTCTATCCTAAAACATTCCTAGGACCCTAAGTTGATTTTTGGATTAGGTAGATATTTATTTATTTATGATATGGACCTAGAAAAATATTACAAAAGCTAAATACCCATTTAATCATCTTTTATGATTTAACCATATATAGAAATGTGTGAACTATTGAGATTTTGTTGTTTTTTATTGCTTTTATAATCTAGCTAACTTTTCTTTAAGAAGCTCTAAAGTTGTATAAATTTAATGGTGAAAACTTCACTTTACCTCCCATTAAATAGTTATATCTCCTTTTACTTAAAATTTAGCAAATTTAACCTTCTGAAATCTTGGTTTTTAAAGTAGTTGTTAAATAATAATAAGATAAATTAAGGATATGTTTTGCACTTGGTTATTGCCCATGGTTAGGTCAAGTTATGCAGATGTTTAGATTCACAAAAAAAAGTAAAAGAATACTATTAGGTGTCTAATATATTATTACTTCATGGGATTGTTAGTTTTACCTTTGATTCATAAGTGGGATTTCCCTTTCTATAGAAGAAATATAAAATCACTTTCTTGTTTGATGCAATTTGAGCCTTTCAAGCTTATTAAACCTCATCCAACCAATAGTATTAATTTTCTATAAATCACAAGAAGCTTTCTTCATAATTTTTTATTTTGTATAAGATGCACAAAATTGCTACAATATCATGTAAAATATATATATAATTTTTTATTTTTTAAAAAAATAGACTATGAGAAAAATAATCCAAAGGTTGTAAAGGCTTATAGTGATATTTAAATTAATAAATTATTTTTAAAATAATTATTTATTTTAGTTAATTAAATTATATTGAAGTTAAAAATTTTTTTCAATAAGGGTCTATAATGTTTTAGCTAGTTGGTTGTATTAAATTTTAAAGTTTCTATATTGTTGATATTTTAAAAATAATTTATAATAAAGTAAATAAAAATTATTTCAAATTTGAATGGTATGGCAACACCGAAATACTTAAAGTTTTTATTTTTATTAGCATAAAAAAACTCATTTATTAAAATATCTAAAGCTCAAAAATTTTAATCTTTTAAGTTTAACTTTTATATAATATTTATAAATATAAATATAAATATTTTTAATAATATATATATTCAAATTAAAATATGTATATATACTGCATGAGTAATAAAAATATTATAGTTAAAAATAAAAACTAAAAATAAACATATTTTTAGTTTATCTTATCTGATAGGAAATTTTTGTTTAGCATAATGATAATTCTCATGATTTTTGCCCTGGCTATTATGGGCATATATGGCAGTCATGGCCGTGCAAGCGCTTTCGTCAACAATATAAAACACATTCTAATTAACATTTGTTAAAGAAAATCGCAACCGTTAATGCTTTTGCCGAGATCGACGGTTTATGTGATTGACAATCTCCGCCGTTGGTTAGGTTTTTGGTATCGACGGCATTTGCCTTTGCTAGGGTTTTGGAACGCGTCATACACAACACGGTGGATCAGGTGAGAGATCACAGGGCATGATTCATCCGGCATAGAGAGGAGGGGAGAGCTCACAGGAGCCATGGCAGCCGCGAGCATCAATGTGATGCTGGCAATTCACGCGAAGAAGACGACGCCAGTGGATCTCCACAAGCCGCTCCGGCTCTACATTTCGCAGCACTACTCAGAGCGCGAGGCCCGCGAGGCCGACGACGATCTCCAATCGGTCCAGGAAATGCGGTCAGAGATCGAGAAGGCCACGGACTCCCTCGATTCGCGACGCGATCTCTTGCAACGCTACTTCCGGGCTCTCTGCGTGATGGAATCTAGGTTTCCAATCTCCAGCGAGCGGGAGCACGTCAATTCCCTCTCCTTCACCTGGTATGACGCCTTCAAGCAGGGAAGAAAGGCGAGCCAGCAAAACATCCACTTTGAGAAGGCGGCCATAGCTTTCAACCTTGGGGCCGTGTATAGCCAGATCGCTCTCTCGGCCGATCGATCGCTCCCAGAGGGCCTCAAGCAGGCTTGCAACTCCTTCCAAGCTGCGGCTGGAGCTTTCGCCTTCCTCCGCGACAACGTCTCCATGAAAGCTTCCGGAAACTCCACCACCACCGACATATCGGTGGAGTGCGCGGGGATGCTGGAGAGGTTGATGCTGGCACAGGCACAAGAGTGTTTTTTCGAGAAGGTGGTGAGCGACAACCGGCCGTCGGCTCTGTGCGCCAAGGTTGCCAGGCAAGTTGGCTTGTTCTACGACGAAGCTCACGCGGCGCTGGTGCTTCCTCCGCTCAGCCAGCACTTTGATCGGAGCTGGGTGTCGCACGTCCAGCTCAAGGCGGCGCAGTTTCAAGCGGAGGCGTGCTACAGAGTTTCTCTCGAGCTCCACGAGAAGGAGAACATCGCCGAGGAGATTGCGAGGCTCAAGGCTGCCAGCAGCATGCTCACCGAGGCGAAGAAGTCTGGCAGGGGTGTGATCGGGCCGCTTCTGGATGCTGTGACGAAGCTGGATGGGAGTGTGTCGCGGAACTTGGAGAGAGCAGTGAAGGAGAACGACAGGGTTTATCTTATGAGAGTTCCGAATCCGGACTCGCTACCTCCGCTTCCGTCCGCGGTTCTGGTAAAGTCGGCAGCGGTTGCCGAGCTTTTGGATGCCAGTAAGGAGAAGATGTTCTCCAACCTTGTGCCCGACAGCAGCGCAAAGGCATTGTCGAAGTACACCGAGATGCTGGACGAGATCATTCGTGTCCAGGCAGAGAAGTTGCAGCAGGAGAGCGAGATCACCAGGGTGAAGCTAAAGGAGATGAACTTACCGGATTCTTTACTGGCTTTAGAGGGCAATGCTAGCTTGCCGGAGCATCTGAGAGACGACGTAGAGGCTGTACAGATTGATGGCGGTCCAGCGGGACTGGAATCGGAGATGGCACAGCTGCGGGATTTGCGACGAGTTAACGAAGAGCTGCTGGTTCAAACCGAGGAACTGCTGGAGAAGGAGTCTAGGGAGGATTCACAGATTCGTGCTCAGTTTGGAACGAGGTGGACGCGTCCTCAGTCGAGTACTCTGACGAAAAATTTGCACGACCGGGCAAATGGATTTGCGGCAAATTTAAAACAAGCTGGCGAAAGTGATCGTCGTATTGAACGCGCAATCAAGGATAATACCGCGTTTCTTTCTATTCTGGACGCGAGACCAGTACGTACTTTGTTTGCATGTCTCGTGGTACTAAATTGTTGTTGACAGATCGAATCGGCTTTGCCTTCTCTTGCAAGGCCAATTTTATCTCTGAATGGCAACGAGGACGCTGTCGTTGGTGCTCTGAGGCAGAAACTGGTAACATTTTTTACGTTTCTAGCTTGGACTCATTCTGATTTTTTATTGTACAGTCTGAGTTGGATAGGCTCGGTCTCCAACGTGCTAGTCTCGAAGATATGCTTAAAGATATGAAGAGACAGGTACTTAACATTTAGTTTTCATGGAAAGCTTCTGATAATCGTATGTCCAGGACAACATCTTACCAAAACTCATGACTACCTCTGGCTCTTACGAAGATTTGTTCAAAAGGGAGCTTGCTAAGTATGAACCTGTGTCAATTGAAGTTGCTAGGAATGTACAGGCACAGGAGCAACTACTGCACGAAATAGAGGTCAGTTTCAAAGCTTTGTTTTTGGCTACAAATTCATGTTTTTTTACTTGACAGGCTCATAACAATGCATTCGCGGCAACGTTCAACTTGCAAGACTATGTCGGTACGTAGCTATATTGAGTTTCTATCCTGTACCTTCGCTATTCGATGCAGTGGCGCGAGAGCGAGCATACAAGCAACTCAGTGCGGCGATCGCAAAGTACCGAGAGATCAGAGAGAACATAAACGAAGGCCTCAAATTCTACGTGACGCTCCAGGTAAGAAGCTCAAGTCTGCAAGTAGAAACCAAAACGCTCTCGTTTTTTTTATCCACAGGACGCCATCACAAACCTGAAGCAGCAATGCAGCGACTACGTGATGACGCGCAACATCCAGTCCCGCGAGATGATGGAGGATCTCCAGCGCCAAATCACAGGTTTATCCTTCAACGATACTGGGCCGAGTCGCACGTACCCGCCAGTCACTCCCCATCAATCCCAAGCTCCCCAGTCCCAGTCCTCCTCGCATCAAACTTATCAGCACCCACCACCATACAGTTCTTCCAACCATTCTCCATCTCCTCCTCAGCACTCCCCTCCTCCTCAACACTCTCCACAGCAAAACTCTCCTTACTATCCTCCCAATATGCCGCCACCTCCATACTACTCCCAGTCCCAGCATCAGCAAGCTCAAACTCAAGCTCCTCCATCGCAAGCTCCTCCACACCGCCAGCAGCAATCTCCTCCTCCTCCACAGCATGTTTACGGCCAGCCTGCTTATCCCGGATGGCAGGGAACTTACTACAACAATGCCGCTCCTCCTCCTCCTCCTCCTCAATCTTCTTCCACTCCTCCTCCATCGAGCTCGCATAGTCATTTTGCTGGACCTTACGCTCCAGGCCCTGGTTATTATTCTTCTTACTACAAGCAATAGGAGGTACCATTATCTGTGTACAGAGGTTTGCATTTGTAGAGTTTTTTCTTTTTTTTCTTTGTTCTTTCTCCCTGTTTGTGTGATTTCTTTTTACGTAGCAATGCATCTAAGAGCTTGTGAGACGCTTGTTTCAACTTGGTTTTTGGGTGTAGGCACTTGGTGGAAATCGTTCTGGAGCAAATAAGTGACGATTTTTTGTGGATGGATGGAATCCATTAAGCTTGGAATTGATATGCCATTATTTCAAGACAACGCAATGTTTGGGTGGTGATTATTTCAAGACAAGGATGTCGTCTTGTGATTATTTCACGTCACTGCTCAATGTGTTTGAAAATGTAGTAAAATAATAAAAAGCGTCTGGTAGCCGAAAAGATTCTATCTTGCGTTTGCTAAAAATTAACACACAGCGAGTTTAAAACAAACGCGATTTGGCCTGGACGGCCGCGATGCCATCATCTGGACACGTGGACAGCCATGTCGCCGCTGGAAATACAGGGAGCACGGCGCTGAGGAAGGGTCCACACGGCCGTGGGTTCTCTCTTCCTCCTTTTCCTTACTTCCCTCCCCTCTTTCGGTCGCTCTCCGTCTCGCCGTGTGGATTCACCCATTCATTGCTCCTTCCAGTCGCCGCCATCGCTGATCGTTGACATCGTAGATCCGGCAAAGGACTCGCTCGATCGAATGATATTCCTGCGATTACCGGGAGCTCCAGGGATCCCCGCGGCGTAGATCTGCATTGCAGCGACTGGCTGGATCGATCTAGGCCAGGACGCGAGCTCCATTCCAGGGCGATCCATAATCTGACCAGGCAAGGGTTTTAGGAATGAAAGGGAGGGCGAGCTCCTCCTTCAGCGTTTCCGGGAAATGGATGCTCGTCCTGTGCGTCGGGAGCTTCTGCGTGGGGATGCTCTTCACAAACAGGTAAGTCCGCCGCCTCTCAAAATCCAGAGCTTCGAAATGGATGTTTTCGTGGCTCTAGAATGTGGAATTCTCCCGAGGATCTCGATGTGACCAGGCCGCAAACGTCACAGCGCCTCCAGATTGTCTCGGAAGATCACTGCGATCCAAAACCTGTAAGTCTCCATCCATCTCTTCACTGTAGCTAAAAGTTATATTTCCAGAAGCCTGTGAACAGCGAAGAATCTCCAAGGGAGATTTTAAATCAAGTATCAAAAACTCATGACGCTGTCTGGTAAAGTTCTTCTTCAACTATAATTCTAGGCCTAATGGTCTCTTTTCTTTCTATTTGTAAACTACAGGAACTTGGATAAAACTATGTCAGCGTTAGAAATGGAGCTAGCTGCTGCTCGAGCTTTAACTCAGCAATCCACGAGCTCTCCCGGCCTTGGAGCCCCGACGGGAGATTCAACTTCTGAGAATCATCAGAGACAAAAGGCCTTCGTGGTGATCGGCATAAACACGGCTTTCAGCAGCCGGAAGCGTCGTGACTCTGTTAGAGAAACATGGATGCCACAGGGTGAGTCCCGCACTTTTTTTCTTCTTTTGAGTTTTTTATTTGCTCATGTATCACTTGTTTCACTTTTCAGGCGAGGCTCTCAAGAGGCTAGAAGAAAAGGGAATTATTGTAAGATTTGTGATAGGTCATAGTGCTACTCCAGGCGGGATATTAGATCAGGCAATCGACTCGGAAGAAGCTCAGCATGGAGATTTTCTAAGACTGGTAAGTTCCTTTTTTTAATCTAAACATGGAGTCACAACTTGTTGTGCAGGATCACGTCGAAGGCTATCTCGAGCTTTCTGCGAAGACTAAAATTTATTTCTCGACTGCTGTCGCTAAATGGGACGCTGAGTATTACGTCAAAGTAGACGATGACGTACATGTGAACATAGGTATTGTGATCTTCAGTATTTGATCGTTCGCTGCTTATGTTCTATGCTTTCCAGGTATGCTTGTGACAACGTTGGCTCGCCTAAAATCCAAGCCACGAGTTTATATCGGGTGTATGAAATCAGGACCGGTTTTGGCGCAGAAGTAAGCCATAAAGTTTTCCTTTTTGTGTGGTCAGACACTAATAACGCTTGTGCGTTTCACAGGGGAGTGAAGTATCACGAGCCGGAATATTGGAAGTTTGGAGAAGATGGCAATAGGTACTTTCGTCACGCAACTGGTCAGCTATATGCGATTTCCAAGGATCTGGCGACATATATCTCCATTAACCAGTATGTTTGGATGCAAGCTTTGGATTCAATCTTCTATTTGTTTCCTGATTTTCTCTTCTTTTGCAGGCATATTTTGCATCAGTATGCAAACGAGGACGTATCTCTAGGAGCTTGGTTCATTGGACTGGACGTGAATCACATCGACGAGCGTAGCTTTTGCTGTGGAACACCTCCAGGTAAGAGAGAAGAAGCTTTTTCTTGTGCCGAGAGATCAAGACCTTTGGTTTTTTAGATTGCGAGTGGCAAGCCGAGGCAGGCAACGTGTGTGTAGCCTCGTTCGATTGGCCTTGCAGCGGCATTTGCAAATCCGTGGAGAGAATGAAGACAGTTCACAAGCGATGCGGGGAGGGCAATGGTGCGATCTGGAGCGCAAAGTTTTGATTGCGTTTTACATCCGGGGTTTTGCAAAGTTTTGTCGCAGGAAGATAGAATTGATAGGGAGGAGGAGGAAACAGCTAACACAAACCAATTCTTTTGTGCGTTCTTGTTGTAATATAATTCTGTTGTATTCATTTACAAGCCCCGGTAAACAGTTGAACGTCTACTGCCGGAAGATCTTACGTATGTTTAACGCTTATTGTTTGATGTCAATTGACACTCTCAGCAGCTCGAGTTCTGTAGCTCAATTGGTCAGAGCGTTGGTCTTATGAGCCGAAGGTCGCGGGTTCGACCCCCGCCAGAACTATCTCTTTGCATTGCTCTATTAGGGAAATGATTCTTTTTTTTTTTTTCTATAGGGTTTTAGGGCAATGACGCAGAAGGGCGAGCTCTTCAAGGGGCAGAAGAAGAAGGCCGCGGCGGCAAATCGCCATGGCAAGGCTCCTCACGTCCGCAAAGGTGAGTCCCATCGATCGATCGCTGCATTTCCGGATACTGAATTGGAAATTTCTCTTAGGCAAGATGTTTAAGGAGCCAAAGAAAAAGAGCGCGGAGCTAGAGATAAACAAGGTACAAATCACGCGTTTTTTGCTTCCCTGGGTTCTTGCTCACGATCTTTGTTGTCTCGAATTTTCTTTTGTTTCCAGGAGCTCGCGAAGTTCATTGACCAGGCGAATGAAGCAAAGGCAGCTGCTATGGCAACAAATGAAGGCTCACGACTGAGAGTTGTCAAATCCAGCGATGACACTTCACCCGCAAAGCCGATCAAAGTCCACAAGAACAAGAAGAAGAACAGCTAGTCACGGGCTGTCTAAACGGAGGAGATCATGCGGTGAGCGAGAGATTTTTCTTGTTTCCTTAGTTTTGCACGAGGGACTGCTGGTAGTTAATTATTTTTCTTTTACCATGCAAGGCAGGATTTTTTTTCACCTTTTTTTTTTCCTAAGCAAGACTTTGTCATGAAGTTCTCATGTGCTCCTTAGGTACCTACAGTACTTCGACCGTGTTGCGATTTTCTTGGGTCAAGGCTCTCAAAAAGAATTCCCTTGCGATAGGTGTGGTGGTTCGTGGGCCGATAGAACAGCACAGGTTGGCACAGATTTATCGTAACCAACAGTAGCAGGCTGCGAGGTGGTCCGGGGAAAAAAAAGGAACAAAATTCCTGATATTCCGACGGGATGGAAGGCACAGGGACGATCATGGCCTGAGCAGCAGAGTATCGTCTACATTTACCAAAAAGTCATAGCGCTCGCACAGATCGATAGATTCAAAGTTCCTGGTGATGAGGCCGTCGCAGGAAAAAAAAAAACAAAAGACGTAACAGATAGGGAAACAAGACAAGGAAGAAGTTGATCCGTTTCAACTAGTTTGGTCGTCGAGTTTGGTGCTGTGATGACACCATTCACGAGTAAGCAACAGTCTGGTGGTGGTGGTGATGCTGGTGGTGATGGTACTGCTGTTGCTGCTGCTGGTGATTCCGGTGGCGATGGTGGTGGGGAGAGGACCAAAGAGATGGCAGCGGGAAAAAGAGACTGAGCAGTGCTCGCTTGTAAGGGAGATAGGACGAGCCGTGCTTCCTGCTGTGCTCGTCCTTGATACGCTGCTGGTAGCGGTCCATGACCGTCACCATTGAGTCGGACGTCGCCACCACGGAAGAGGACGCCGCGAACGAGACGGATGATTTCCTTCCGCTGCTGCTAGACCGCTGCTGGTTGACCCTGGGAGCACCACTGCTGCTACCGCCGGTTTGATCCACTCGGACTACGTAAGAGGCAGCTCCCACGCTCTTGGACTTCGTGAGGTTTACTTCGTAATTGCTGCTGCTGGAGGTCCGGAGAGCTGAGCTCTTGCTGCGAGGGATGGAGCTTTTGAGCGGTGATGGCTCGTTGCATGATCTTCGCCGGGAGCTACTGTTTGACGAAGAGGAGGGGATGAGATGATCGAGCGTCGGCTTCTTTCCTCCGCAAACTGCCAGGATGAGCAGCGATTCTTTGCCGTGGAGGTGCCGCTGCTGCTGCTGCTGCTGCTGCTGCTGCTGTTGGGATTTGGACTTTTCGAGCAGCCGCTGCCTGGATTTCCTCAAGAGACTGAGCGATTCTTCACGACTCTGCCGGGAGGCATCGAAATTCATGAGCTCTGCCAGAGTTTGCTTCTTCTTCTTCGGCTTGTTTGACGTGGTGGCGGCGCTCCTCAGGCGGTGATTGCTGCTGCTGCTCTCGGCCTCCTCGGACGAGAAGAGATCGTCGCTAGAGCTATCCGGCTGGAAATCGTGGTCGCCATCGTCCTCTACCTCTTGGATCTCTTGCGGGCGAACGAGATACGACGTTGGTGACAGCGGCTCCTCGACCGGGCTGCAAAATCCATCGCCAAAGTCAATGTTCTCCCCCGCCATGATCGATCGATCTTCGTGGAACGACAAAGGAGACATCGTGAAGAACGGAGGAAGAAGTAAATTAGTGTCGGTCTTGGAGAGAAGTTCCTCGTGGCGATTAAACTGGAAAGAATTTGGAGAGAGAAGAGAGGAAGAAGACGATGAAGAACTCATGGTTGTAAGACTTCATGGACGAAGAATCCTGGACTTTAAGTAGAAAACCTTGTCTTTGCCGTGTGGGATTGAGAGATTGATCGAACGACTGGCGCTTGTAAGCTATCTATCAGACCGTCAATCCGTGTCAATCAAGTCCCCTCGAAGAAGAAATAGCGTAATTGTCTTTGTAGGCCAGGAAGAACACCCCCACTCACACAATTAAGGCTTTGAAAGTGCTATGCGCACACGCCGCCATAGCTGCTCGTACAAACCATCGCTGCACGGAACCGATCAATGCATTGGGAGTCGCTCAAATTCGATGGTGGTACCGAATTTACAAATCTTATCTCTCTCCACTCACTGCTAATCCCTCTTGCTCGCTTCTGGATCGATTGAAATGTGGTACCTTCCTCTCCCTTTTGGGGTCTCTCTCTCGTTTTCCTTGACGCTGTCAAACACACACAGGCTTTGTTCGCTCGCCTCTCTCTCTGGGTAGGCACAAAGATTGCGTCACCAAGGTCGATGAACAAGGCGAGATCTAGCCGTCCACGTGAATGGCGCCTGGACCGTTTGATTCGAGACCGTTGAAGCGACCACACTGAGCAGCGTTTATAGCTGGTAATTATTTTTACCGCGCACTATGGGATAAACCCTAAAATATTTTCTCTAGGTCGGGGATGGAGGACGATCTCGAAGCGGTCGAATGCGCGGTGCGCCGCGTGCTCAATCAGGAGCTGGACGGCGGCGGCGAGAATGCGGGTGGAAAGATCGAGCTGCTCCACAGGCTGATCGAAGAGGTACTCGATTGAATGACTAGAGAGGATTTTTGGAAATTTTCATAGGTGCATGCTGCGCGAGCTCGATCGAGGAAGGAGTCGAAAGCCTCCTCCGATGCTTCAGAGAATGCAGCGGTGAAGGCGGCTGTGGCGGCTGCAAATGCCGCACAGGCGGCGGCGGATTCAGTGGCCAAGAACTCGCGGATGATCGAACTTCTCTTGGATACTGTGAGAGTTTCTCGTCGTGATCATCGTCGGGGAGCTGCTGCTGTGGATAGTACCGACGACGACGACGAGTCTTTGCCTGAGAGAGGAGATGAAAACGAGAAGGAAGAGAAGAAGCTTTTGCGCATCGTGAGAAACTTACAGCGGCAGAACGTCATCACGCATTTTATCCTGGGCTTCATGGTGATCACTACGGCCATCTGGAGGGTTAAAGAGATCACTTGGATACTCCGGGTACGAAAGATGCTGGCCAATCCACTAGAGACAGTGGGCGGGATCTTTGGAGGCGATCATCACCAGGAGCATCATCGCAAACACAAGGAAGAGATCGAGAAGCCGCTGCAGTTGCCGCACTTGGAGCTGCCGACACTGTTTCACAAGTCCGAAACGACAGAAGATTCTATTTCTTCGTAGCGGAGTTTCTAAAGGTTTGCTTCTTCCGTTTTTCTATCTATTATCTTCGACAGAAGTTTTCCTTCCTGTTTGCCATCTCGCAGGACTATATTTTCAAGTTCCAGCGAAACAAAACAAATCATGATAGCAATTACATATAAGGTGCCATGACCGCGTTTCATTTTTCAGCGATAACGAAGTTTTTTTCTCTCCGTTTCAGGTGATTAAAGTCTATCCTCTTAAGTACCCGGAGAAGAATAAAAATTTCTCCTTCGCTCAGCAAACCAGATGATTCAAGTTCCTCCAGAGATCGACGAAGAAGCACATCGAGTTCGTTTACATTTTTTGATAAAGTCGTTCTGTGAGTGCTGACATGGGCACGATCACTGCCCCGTGGCGGTGACGTGGCGTCGTCCTTGCTAGCGTCGCTGTCAGTGACCAAAGGACCGAGAGGGGAGGAGAAAAGAAAAGAGAGAGCAGCACTGTTGAGTGAGCGAAGGCTAACTCCTGTGTTTGAGAGAGTGAGTGGAGAGTGCTTTCCTTGCTCCGTGTAAGTGTGGTGTTTAGTGTGGAGCTCCCAAGTGTGCGTGTGTGTGTGGGTGTCGTGTGTGTGCTTGGCTTGGCTTGGCTACTACTGCTTTGTTTTTGTGGCTTTCTTCTTTTGGGTGTTAGTGGACAAGTCAAGAGGGTCAGTCCTGACCAATTCCTGCGGAGAAATTTGCCGGTCGAGCCTTGGAGCTGGGTAAGCACTAGTTCTTAGCTACGAGGCACTTGGGCAGGGGGGTTAGAAGCAAACAAAGGTACAGATAGGGAGCAGGGAAGCCGGAGGCTGACTAGAAAGCACTAATGGAGATGTTGGGGTAGGAGGCTCTGGAGATGGAGAGCGAAGAATTGGCGAGAAAAGGGGCGGCCCAAGACAAGGGACAAGAATGCAAGGAGGATTCGGCAAGGTTGGTTTACGTTTTTCTACAGTTGTGCTGCTGCGGGTTTGATGCTCTTTTTTGGTTCTTTGCAGGCCAGTTTTTGGTGAGGCATCAAAGGTGGAAAGCGCGGAGCGTAGAGAGAATGAGTACTTTGTCGAGCAAGATGCGGTTTTGCCGATAGCACAGCCGACGAGTGAGCCGGGTTTGACATGCTCGGGCCTAGACGCAGGTATGGAGATCGAGGATTTCATAAACGAGACTGTGGAGGAAGGCAAGTCGGACAAAGTATCGGAGCAGCAGCTTGTCAAATCCACTACAATCATAGAAAAAAGTTTGACAACAACACAGCCATCGACAGCAACAACTCCAGGCAGTGAGAATGTTACCGAGAAAGTAGCGGAAGTTGTCATCATAGACCAAGATCAAGAAGTGGAAAAGTCGGAGGGGGGGAAACCTCAGGAAGGGCCGACTAAACTGGAGCAGTCTCAAACAAAAGTTGTGGAGGTGGCCGTAACTTTAACTGCTGGAGAGAACGAGGAAACAATCGATGGGGCTGCTCTCAAGAGTATGCAACTCGAAGCTGGAGATGGGAGTGACAAAGGTACTGCTACGCCGAACTCGACGAGTGGTCAGGAGAAGGAAACTGTCGAGGACGTTGGTGCTGCTCCAAAGGTGAATGCAAAAGCTCCCAAATCTTGCGTGGTCAACATGGCTAGCGACGATAACCGAGGAAAGAAGGATGGTCAGAAAGGTGGAGCTAAGAGCAATGGTCGTTCCAAGAAGAACCAGGCTGATCAAACAGTTGTGGTAGTAGAAGGGGAGGCTCCTGCTACTGCTACTGCTGCAAAGCCTCCTGCAAAGAGAGGCCGTAAGCCAGGCAGCAAGCGAGCGGAGAAAGCAGCGCCTGATAATACATCCAAGAGTCGTTCCTCGTCAGGAGAGCCAAAAGCACCTCCAGTTACCTTGGATCTTACTACGCAGCCTTTCAGTGATGCGCAGCAAGTGCAATTGCGTGCTCAAATCCTCGTCTATGGCGCGATCATGTAAGCTATCTGTCTTGCCATTGCTTTCATAATCTTTTCTCTTTTGCTTACAGACAAGGCTCTGTGGCAGACGAAACTTTAATGGGAGCTGCATTCACGGACATCTCCAAAGGTTCTTGCTGGTTTTAAAATTTGGATTTGGATGACTGAATTTTTGTTTCTCTCTCTTTCTTTTTGCAGTAAGTAACCTTGAATCGTTTGAAAGTCAAGCTGGCTCCTCCAGATCGTTATGGGAAAAGGCATGGAAAACAGCATCCGAGCGCATGGTTAAAGCCGCTGGCAAATTTGGAGGAAGAAACAGTCCACCGGCACCAAGGCCGCCACCTTCCAATTTGAGTCCCACAAATCTTCCAAAGTCTCCGTCGTCGAGGGGAAAGAAGAGTGGTGCTACTCCGCCGCCGGCGGTGACACCGCCCAGTACGTCCGAATTTCCTTCGGTATCTCCAGTGGCAACTTCCGTCATGACAATGGCTTCAGCAACGGTGGCTTCGTGGAACTCCGCGAGAGCTCGAGCACCTTCTCCAATGGGATCTGCAGTGGATAGCTGGCTCTACCGGTCTAGCTTTCCATTTGGTCAGCACCTCAACCTCTCGGCAAGCCCCGCCCCTCAACAGCCGCCATCGCAGTGGGGGGTTCCTTCGCAGCTTTCGACACCTATACGTGGAGGCTGGGGTGTTTTCTCTCAGGCCTCGTTTGGATCACAGCCACCACCGTTCCCTCTGTTTTCTTCTCCGCATCAAGCGATGCCACCGCCAGCAGCGGTGGCGGCACTGGAAGCTGACAGAGGCAAAGGCACAGGGAAAAGAAAAAGGCTCGACGATTCAGAAAGCACTCCAGCTCCTGCTTCTTCGTCACAGGTGATTCCCAGCGACGTTTCTCCAGCCACCGCAGGACTTTTAGAAGGCAACGGTAACACGCTTGGTATCATGAGCCAAGAAGAACTGGACAGGTTGCGTGGCGAGGACTTGGTTCACCGTTTGGAGTCGGCGAAGAAGAAGGCGGAGGAGGCTGCCTCGGCTGCGTCGAGTATGGTGGAGCAGAGCCAGACCGTGTGGGATGATATCAAGGAGAAGCAACGCACTAAGAACATGTCTACCAGGGAAGGGCATCTTGCTTCTTCTCTGGCTGCTGTAAGTGCTGCTGCGTCGGTTGCCAAGGCTGCTGCGGCTGCTGCCAACGTTGCGTATGCCGCTGCGTTGCAAGCTCGAGCCATGGCAAATGAGATAGTCTTGTCGAGGAAGGAGGCATCAAACTTCGACGACACAGACCCAACCGTAACTCACGTTACGCAGGGTGACGACAGGTCCGCCCAGCTCAAGTCTGCGATCTCCGGCGCGAAGGTGGCGACGAAACAACACGTCGAGGCTACCGCTCTAGCATTCACGAAGGCAGAGAATTTGGAGGCTGTTGTGAGAGCTGCAGAGCTCGCTGCTCAGGCTGCTTCCCAGGCTGGGAAAGTCATGTCGCTTGGAGATCCGGTGTCACTGACAAGCAGCGAGAAAAATGCAAAGCCGGGAGGTAGAGTGTCTGGGAAGAGGAATACTCGATCAAAGACAGCAGCAGCGAAGAAGAACAGGAGCAACGTTGAGGAGGAAGCTGTAGCAAAGGAGCAGAACGAAGAGAATTCGGCCGAGGGGGAGGGAACTCAGGGGAACGAAACTGCGCCGGCGCCGAGAGGTGATGAAGTTGCCGTGAGTAATAAAACTGGAGCAGCACAGGGAGACGTTGTGGATGCCGAGCCATCAGAAGGCTTAGTCGAAGACAAGCAGCACAACAGGCCGGAAGAGATCACAGTAGGCTCCCATGTCGAGGTATATCTTTAGCGTTTCTCCTTGTAGGCTTTTTAGTTTTCCTCCTTTTTTTTCTCTTTCGGTTGTAGCATATTGTAGTAAGCGTTGATAATAATGCCTTGCAGATTGTTCCAGACGAGGATGGGCTTCAAGGAGTATGGTTCTCAGCCAAGGTTAAAACTCTGAATGGTGATGACGCTTTGGTTGTTTATGACGAGCTTCTGGATGATGATGGTTGTTACCTTCTTTTCTTTCGCCTGTTTAGTTTTCTACTGGTTGAGAAACTTACAGTGGCCTTTTTCTTGTGTTGCAGGAAACGGCAAACTTGAAGAATGGGTGAATATCACGAGTCGAATCGACAATGTTCCGCGTGTGAGGACGGCGCATCCAATGACCAAGGATGGAGGCATGCGCAAGAGGAGAAGGGCTTCGCAAGGAAGCCAGAAGTGTTATGTTGGTGATCACGTCGATGTTTGGATGCGGGACGGGTAAGCTCTAGAAAAAAAAAGCCCGAATGAACTAATCAAAGCTGCAGGTGGTGGGAAGGGGTTGTTCAATCGGTGGACGAGAGCCTTGTCACAGTTTTCTTCCCAGGTAAGTTTTACAATACGTTTCCTTGCAAAAAAGAATTTTTCTTTGGTTGTTTTCGCAGGTGATGGCGATACTGAAGCTACCAAGTCTTGGAATTTGAGGCCGTCTCTGGTGTGGAAAGACGATGCATGGGTACTTTGGCGGGATACTTTGGGTCAGAAAAGCAAGAAACAGGTAAGAAGCTACTCTTCAAGTCTGGAGAAACGATTGACGATTTGTTTCGCTCTAATTGATAGAAACTGGAGGATGGTGGTGGCAATCTGTCCTCTCAAGAACTGGAAACACCCGAGACCCCGACTGGCAAGAGAAAGAAACTTGATTCCGCGACACCAACACCAGGAACAAGCGAAGCTCCTACTCCTACCAGACCTGCTGCAAGGGCCAAGCCTACTAAGAGAAGGAAATTTTCCGACGTGATCGAGAAGGACCAAGAGGCGAGGGACGCCTCCTTAGCGAAGCAGCAAACGACTCCACCGTCGTCGAGCAGAACTCCAAAACAGCAGCAGGGAAAGCTCAAGAAATCGACACCAAGCAACAAGAAGAGCTCGCCACCACCGAAAAGGACAAGGCAAACGAGCAGCGCCAAAAGTAACGACGAGGGAGAGGTCCGAAAGTCCGGGAGGATGATACATCCTACTTCCAAGGTGTGTTAATCTTCGCCATTTAGTTTCCTTCCTTGATAACCTTTCTTTTCTCCTTGGCCAGCTATTGGAAGGTTTAGAGACAACACCCAAACCAGCCAGCAAGAAATCTGGGACGCAGCAATCCGCTAGCTGATGTACTTTTACCAATCTCGTTTTCCTTGTTAACTACTTTTGCGTCCTGAATTCTCTCTTCCACAGATCGTCATCCTTAGAGGAATCTGTATCTCCCTAGACTCGGCTTTGGCGTCTTGGCCGCGGCAAACAAAGCAAGATCGAAAGGAGCTAAAGAATTCTTTAAAGCGTTTGCACGCGTTAGCTGGATCTTCTCGGTCGCTACGATTGTCTCGAGGTATCTCTTGTTTTGATCAAGGATACGGAAAGGAGCTTTGCAGAACGGGCACTTGGGAATGCTAACCAGGCAATGAATTTGCGAGCAGCGGCTTATGCCGGCCCCATTTTTTTTATGCAGTCGAAGCAAAATTGGTGGCCGCATCGCATGCCAAAAACTCCCTCCACGTTTGTCTGGTTCTCGTCGTGGCAAGTAACACGCTCAAGCTCGACGACGTAGACAATCTTCTTGTCAATGGTGACGGACTCTCGCTCCTTGGAGCTGTCCCGGCGGACGGTGTTCCTAAGGGGTTCCTAATTCGCGCGGCTGAAACGATTGCGACTTTGGTGACGTCTTTGGAGGGAAAAAAAGTCAAGCTTGTCACTGGCTTTAAAACCTTGGACTCATTCTGCTTTTCTGTCGTTTGGATAGGCAAACGTGCTAGTCTCGAAGATATGCTTAAGGATTTGAAGAGATAGGTACTGCTAATTACCCGTGGAGAGCTGCTGATAATTGCAACATCTTAACTAAAACTTATGACTACAGGCTCTAGATTTGTTCGAAGGGAGCTTTCCAAGTATGTTTGAAGTTGCCAGCAATGTAGAGGCACTGGAGCAACTAGGCTTTGGCTACCAATGCGCCATATCGAGGGAGTGTGTGGCCTTTTCTAAACAAGCTTTTTGAATTTTAGGGTTTTAACGACTCCATGTTCAAAGCACAATTTTGGTATATGCTTCTTCAACTGGATTTAGGGTTCTAAAGAATTGGGGGAAAATCAGCAATTGCAAATCTCCACGTAATGTGACGCGACCGTTGACCCTAACCGGAAACGTTTTGTTAGTTTTCTGGGTGGTGCGCTCTTTTCTGAAGGAGAAAATGGCTGGAACTGGAGTGTTCAAGGCATGCCTTGATGGCGACGTCTACAAGTATTACGCTGATGGCGATTGGAAGATGTCATCATCTGGGAAGACCGTCTCTGTCACAAACCCTACCACAGGGAAGCCCATCTACAAGGTCACAGGTTCGCACTCAGACATAGTGCGTTCGTGCAGCTTCAAAATTTGCTCTTTGGACTTGGCAGCTTGCACCCAAGACGAGATCAACAAGGTTTTTCAGAGTGCCAAGGCAGCTCAAAAGCTATGGGCAAAGACTCCCTTGTACAAGCGGGCTGAAATGCTCCACAAGGTTTCAGTCATCATGAAGGAACACAAAGCACCCCTGGCGGATTGTTTGGTCAAGGAAGTTGCCAAACCTGCCAAGGATGCTGTCACCGAGGTTTTTTCCCCTACCACCACCACCCACGCTTAAGCAGCAAGAACAAGATTAAGGTGACAGAGCTCCATAGCTGTCTTTGTTCTAAATTCCTGTCTTGTGTAGGTTGTCCGCTCCGGTGATTTGATAGATTATACAGCCGAGGAAGGTATAAGGATCATGTCGGAAGGCAAGTTTTTGGTTTCCGATCCATTTCCAGGGAACGAAAGAAACAAGCTGTGCTTGTCTTCAAAGGTTTGTATACGTTTCTTGGTTTCTAGCGACAAAAAGGAACTGCATTGCAGGTTCCTCTTGGAGTTATTCTCGCGATTCCTCCATTCAACTATCCAATCAACCTTTCGGTTTCTAAGATTGGGCCAGCTCTTATCACTGGAAACTCCGTCGTGATTAAACCTCCAACTCAGGTATGATTTTACTTGATGTATCATAATGTGTGACTTGGCGGTCTTTATCAACTTACAGGGTGCCGTCTCTACTATTCACATGATGCACTGCTTTCACTTGGCAGGATTTCCCAAGGGCTTGATTTCATGTGTGACCATTAAGGTCTCAGAATTGGGTGACTTCCTCACAACCCATCCAGCAGTAAATTGCATCAGGTACTTACAATATGGTTATGGAGGAGGTGCCTAATGTACTTATACTGCAGCTTTACTGGAGGATGCGACACTGGCATTGCAATCTCCAAGAAAGCGAACATGATTCCCTTGCAGATGGAGCTGGGTGGAAAAGATACAATGCTTGTTCTCGACGATGCAGATGTGGAGTCCGCTGCTGTCAACATCATGAAGGGAGGCTTTGCATTCAGGTATGCTTTCGTGTTGAACTTTACATGTTGAAGTGAGCCCCTTTTCAGCGGCCAGAGATGCACAGCGGTAAAGGTTGTCTTGGCCATGGAATCCATTGCAGACGCTCTAGTATCTAAAGTAAATGCCAAAGTTGCAAAGCTGTCTGTTGGACCTCCTGAGAATGACTGTGACATTGTCCCGGTTGTGAGCGAATCCTCTGCTAATTTCATTGAAGGGCTCGTGATGGACGCAAAGCAGAAAGGTGCTAAACTCTGTCAGGTAATTCGTCAACCTCCGAGGCCATATAACATTTCTAAGCTCAATTATATAACAGGAATGGAAAAGAGAAGGCAATCTGATCTGGCCCCTCCTGATCGATCATGTCAAACCTGACATGCGAATTGCTTGGGAGGAACCATTCGGGCCTGTAATCCCCGTCTTGCGCATCAAGACAGCTGAAGAAGGAATCAACCACTGCAACTCAAGCAGATACGGTCTCCAGGTATTCTATCGATTTACTTATCGTGCGAAGAACGCACTAGAGATCCTTGTAATTTTCAGGGGTGTGTTTTTACCAAGGATGTAAACAAGGCAATGCTTGTGAGTGACGCCATGGAAACTGGAACTGTGCAAATAAACGCAGCTCCTGCTCGTGGACCAGATCATTTTCCCTTCCAGGTATATAGCAAATGCATTTTTTAAGCTCTTGGGCGATGAATGTATGCTGTGTAAACGCAGGGTATACGTGACAGTGGCATTGGATCTCAGGGAGTTACCAACAGTATCAATATGATGACCAAAATCAAGACCACAGTCATCAACCTGCCTCAACCATCATATACAATGGCATAACTTTTTACCTGTTTTACAATAAAGTGGCAGAAGAATTTCTGCTTTCCAGCAATTAAGCATCACGTAAACAGTATATAAAGCACTTGAGCCAAACAAGCCGCGGGATTCTGGATTTGGAAAGTTCTTGTGTTCTAAGTTCCTCTTGCACAGATCGTCGTCCTTAGAGTCTGAATCGTCGCCCTTGTTCCAAGCAGACCCGGCACTCCCACGGGTAGAGAGCATCTACCCGTGGAGGATCCAAGCAAAATGTATGAACTGCTCGACTGCGGCAAACGTTGCACACGAGCAAGAGCTCTTCGGCGTCCTGGCCGCTGCAAATAACGCACGATCGAGCCTGAACGAAAGATTAGGATTAGGAGCTAAAGAGTTCTCTGGCAAAGCTTACCACAGGGAAAGCGTTTGCACGCGTTCGCTGGATCTTCTTCTCGATCGCCACGATTGTCTCGAAGTATCTCTTGTTTTCATCATCGTCTGCCAAGGATATGAAAGGCTCCCTCTTGGTGATAAAATCGAAAGGGGCTTTGCAGAGCGGGCACTTGGGGGTGTTGGCGGAGCCCTGGCAAAAAGAGAAGAGAAGATGTTACCCAGGCGATGAATTTGCGAGCAATGGCTTACGGAATGCTGGCTCCATTTTTTGATGCAGTCGAAGCAAAATTGGTGGCCGCATGCCAAAACTCCCTCCACATTTGTCTGGTTCTCGTCGTGGCAAATAACACACGCCACGTCTTCGCTCGAGCTCGACGACGTAGACAGTCTTCTTGTCGATGGTGACGGACTCTCGCTCCTTGGAGCTGTTCCGGCGGACGATGCTCCCAGATCGCGCGGATTGGAAGCATCGTCGATGCGAAGGGGCGGCTGAAACGGTTGTAACTTTGGTGACGTCTTTGGAGGGAAATAAGTATCAAGCTGCACCTCGACTTTGCGTTCAGTGGCGTCACTGTTCTTTGTCACTGGCTGTAAAACCTGCAAACACACATACACACAGTTTGTGAAAATGTAATATCAACAGCTCTCACCTTTCTCCGGGAGGCGCTTTCGCGAGACAAATCTCTGAAGCCTTCAAGATTGTTGATCTCGTGCTTTCTCTTCGTTTTCCTGTCCCTGCTTGGAGGCGCAGATCTTTTGCTCGACTCGGCGATCTCATCTTCTAGTAGAAAGGCATCCAGTCCCGTCAAGATGCTTTTCTCCCCGTGGTTTCTCGGTCTGCATCTTTTGTTCTCCTTTCCACTTGTCGTCGAAGGCTCTCTTCTTGCCCTCTCTCGCGGCCGCGGCGGGGTGGTTGACTGATGGTGCGGTGTGGGGCTTCGCGCATCTTGATCCAAGCAGCTGGCTTGAGGTTCTTGAGGTCCCGTAACATCCTCCCTTGCAGTATAGCCGCCAGCTCTCCTGACTTCTCGATATGTCACTGGACCAACTTCTTTCCCGCTAGTCGCAAAATAATGGAACAGTTCGAGTGAGATGAAGCCTTTGCGAAAAAAAAAACACTCACCTTTTGTGCGTATAAGGTTCTTCCGGTAGCCGGCTGCCAGCCCTCAAGCAGTCCTCAAACCACTGATGGTTGACGATTTTAATTCCCAGCTCTTTAGACAAATGATACTTTTTTCCAGTAAAGCTCCGGCAGACCTCCCAAAGGAAAGTGTCAGCAAAAAGAACAAGGACAAAGAAAAAACAGATCTTACTAAATGGGTGTGACTCGTAGATAGATCTCCCAGAAATAACGCGCCCGTCCTGTTGATCAACGCGACGACTCTACTTCGCTGCGTACCTGTATATCCGCTAATGGTAACGATCAAGGAATCCATCCCCGGCACAGAATGCAGCCCATCGCCGCAGCCATAATCCTCCCCATCCTGATCGGAATCCTCAATGGTGATGGTCTCAGCTGTGCTGCATCGGCGCGCCGGGAGAATCACGCCAGCGCCTCCACCGGCATTCCCCTCCATCGCAGCAAAGAGCCCTAAATAAAAACCCTCCAAAAGAGCCCTGAGGAAGAAATTCAAAAATCCTGGGACGTGGCAATCTCTAATTACATTGATAAACAAAGATTAAAACTTATGGTCGAGATGATGCCACAACGAGTACCACGTGTCCATTATCCGTTGGGGGGAGCCGGTCGCACGCTCGATACCCAACCGCGACAGTTTCTCATTTATCTTCCCTCTCTCGTTGCAAATATAAAGACGAGGCAAACGCGTATGTCCGTGTCTTGTTCTTGTTTTTCGGTATTTTAGGGCTTTTGCGAATGGAGTGGAGACGTGTGGAGCGTTGGAGGGCTGATTGGAGGCCGGGCGGCAAAAGATCTCTGCTGCTCGCACGATTTTTCACACAGATCTTTTCTCTAGCGGTGTCAGGCGATCAGGAATGGCCAGGTAATATCGCGACTACATATTCTCCCACCCATGTACTGGAAGGAGAATGTAGTTCATAGGCTCTCTCCTCGTTTAGATTCGAGCTCTTCCAAGGATCTCTTCTGAGCTTTTCTTTTTGCCTTTTTCTCCAGATCATGAGAGAGCTAGCATTCCACTCGCGATCCATCGGCCGATCAGTCGATGCGTCGAGCGCTGTGTTTTTGATGCACTCAGCTTGACACGGCCGTGCTTGGAAGTCTGGAAAGTTTTCTTTCACGCTCCACTGATGCTGCTGCTGCAATGCGTGCTCTCTCTCTTGGTCGTGTCAAGCTGTGTGCATCACAACGCATTGCTCGTTTTCAAGATCTCCTTTCTTCTCCAAATCTCTAGGCCTAGACGCTCTCCCGCAAGAACAAGCATCGGTTTCTTCTACAAGTGACGCTCTTTCTCTCCCTTTCTCTCTCTCGTAGCAACTTTCTTTTCTCTTAAGCGTCTCTGGCTCACAGCATCTCGATCTTTCTGTGCTTTTCCTTGTACGCACCTTGACAGGGATCATCGAGTTTGAGAACCATCTAGCAGTGAAAGCTCAAACACATACCATCTCTTAACTTCTCCAGGGAGAGATCATCCTCCCGAGAGGGAGGTAGCGAGGTATAGATATTTTTTTTCCTTCTTTCTTTTGTCGACATGGGGATGTGGATCCACTTCCATCTCTTTTTTCTATTTTTTCTATCGTTCGCTCTCGACAGCTTGTGACTCATCCAGGTTCGTACGTCGGGGGTCTTTAAATTTTATTAGTTTCTCACGTCCTTTTGCAGCCTCTCGTGGAACACGTATGCCAACGATTCAATTCCCTTCCCCTTTGCGCTTAAACTACGTTAGTGGCTGTGTGGTCTCCACACACTACACAAATCTCAACTTTCACGCGGCGCCGGAGATTGTTTAAAGCGAAAAATCAAAGCTTTCTTTCTTTGACAATGACGAGGACAAAGCTCGCCTCCTTCGGTTCACTGTACAAGTTTATCAAAACTTCGCCGAGTTTGCAAGTTTAGAAGCTAAAAAAAATGCTTTTTTTGTTTTTTTTTGGTTTTTTTTTTTTGTTTTTTTGTGTTGAAATCGAAACTTAGCTCGATGTTTGCTGCTGTAGCTCGATTTCTCGTGGCAAAGGTGAAGACTTTCGCCTGGAAATAATCTCTGCCTCGCGAGCAATGTCTATGTCCGAAGCCCACCACCGCTGCTTGACGACTTTCACCATGAATCGAGGCAGCAAAGCCAAGCACATAATGAGCAACAGATCAAACCAGTAGGTTGCTGTTCCGACGGCGTGATGAATGACCCTGCAATAACACAAACAAAACTTCTGATTAACTTTCCGGAAAAACAGACAAACCAATAAAGAAAACAAAAGAAAGAGCGAGAGAGGATCAGCGCATCAGCGTACCAGTAGTGGTAAATCGAAGTGGCATCTGTCAGCGAGTCCATAATGAAGAGAATGATGTAGGTGATAGCGATCGATCCCCATATTGCCAGATGCATGATCCAGTTCCACACCTGGACGTCGAGAGCCAGATGTAAATTCACCAAAATGACAACCGCGGCCGTCCATAGTGTTCCCAGGCTCCAAATGTCTATAGTACTCTCTTTGTATGTGAACCAGGGAACGTAGAAGAGGACCAAACTTTGCCACAGAGTGTCGAGCATTGTCAGCCAGAAGAGGTTTTGGTTGTAAGTCTCGTGGCGGAGCCCGGAACCGTAGAGTGTTGGCAAGCGGAGGAGAGTTTTGTGGCTCAAGTCCTTGTCAAAAATTGCCACCACTATGGTTGGAACCGACGTGAACAGGAGCGAGTAGAAGATGAGATTTAGATCGACAAGAGCGGACTGTGAGGAGAATGCTGTATACAAAATATACCTGGAAGAAAAAACGTTAGATCTTGTCGCTATCAGTGGGTAGACTTGCTTTCTTACCAAAAGAGCATCATAACGAACACTGCGTTGCGGTAGAAGTTGTATAGAACCATGTATGCCAGTCTTTGATAGTTCCAGTGGCCGTGTACGAGGAGGAGTTTGTTAAGAAATCTGAATCTTGGCATTGCAAAATCCGATGCCATCACTGCTTGCCGGCCTTCTTGTCCGCTTATACCAACGCCTACGTCCGCCATCTGAATCATGGCTACGTCATTCGCACCTAAAGATTAAAGATTAAAGAGAAATTATTCAAGAGAACTCCTAAACAAAGATGATTACCATCTCCAATCGACAAGGTCATGGCTTTGTCTTTTCTCTTGATCAGCGACACAATGGCTGCCTTCTGATAAGGAGCGACACGGCAGCACAGAACCGCGTGGCATGCGACAGCGACCTCGAATAGCTGCAAGATAGTTTTAAGCCACGGGAACAAACAAAACCGCTTCTCGTACCTCTTGATTGAGATCGTCCGAAAGAGCATGTACGAGACTGGTCCCATCGATTATAAGCGCCAAAGTACTGTCTCGCGCATTCTTTTTGACAGCCTGTGGAGTTACTTGAATGTTTAAAGAGCTAGAGCTCTTCTTCTTGTCCAAACCTCCAGTTTTTAACTTCGCTGCTTTCAAGGCACTGCGGCAACCTTCCTTGGAGCTCTCGTTGATGATAATTTGATCCATGTCATGCGTTAACAACGCGGAGGAGTAGCCTATTGAGATAGCTGTTTCCTGTTTATCACCTGTCAGCACCCATACCCGAATGCCAGCTTCCCTTAGCGAGGATATGGCTTCAGGAACTCCGTCCTGCAGCTTATCCTCAATACCTGTAGCGCCTAGGAGAGTCAATCTGTTCTCTACAAAGGCCGCAGCAGCTTGAAGCATCTCCGCACGGTCGTGCAAGGCTGTACTGGCCTCCGAATACCGGCCCAACCATTTTTCAAACTCTGAACGTCCAAGAACTTTAGAAGCAACCACCAAGGTTCGCAAGCCATCCTGTGCAAAGTCCTTCAAATGCCTGAGTGTAGCCTCCCGAACGTCTTGCGACTCACTCGAAATGTTGACAATGTTCAGCATATTTGTGTCCGCACCTTTAACCAGCACCTTGATCGTTTTATCCGGGCACTCGACAACAACTGACATTCGCTTGCGAACGCTGTCGAACTCGTGAATTCCCAGGATCTCATATCTATTGGAAAAAATAGAACACACTTAGCAACAGCTCGGGTACGAATAGAGATCAAAAGGTAAGTACCTTTCAGTAGTTCCTGAATTGCCGATAACAATGGATGATGCCGTCCGTTCCATGAGCGTAAAGCCATAAGAACTGGCCGCTGCCACCAAAGCCTGTTCATCCGGAGACTCCCCTTGATACTCTACGAAGCCAGAAGGTTCTATCTCCGCCGATGCAACTTCCATTTCTAGCTGACCAGAAGACGATTGAGTGACCCACGTAGGGACGACGGTGTTGCATGCCGCCAATACCAGAAAGAATTCTTTCACAGCCTCTGCCTCCGCAGTTCCAGCAGTCAAAATACTCTTCAGATCTGCATTTACTCTTGGTTTTGCTTCTTTTTCTGTGAGAAAAGAAATTTAAAAACGATTATTTATTCTGAGCACAAAACCATTACCTGAGATCTCGACGTCGCCAGAAGCTTTGGAGCCAGCTTTCGCGTACTTGACCCCGCAAATACTCGCAGAGTGAAACTCCATCATGTTCTCTGTCAAAGTCCCAGTTTTATCGGAAAACACGTACTTGACCTGCCCGAGGTCCTCGTTGATATTCAAGGCACGGCATTGAAGCCTCGAGTCCGTCTCGACATGCAACATCTCCGTATCCCTGACCATGAAAAACGTCTGCGCCAGACGAACTAGCTCCATGGAAATGTAGAGCGAGAGGGGGATCATAATCTGGAAGCTGATCAAGCAGCTCAGAAAGGCGATCACAGCTTCACCGGCAACACCGTAGTACATATACTTGTCACCATCATCCGCACCAGATCGCGGAAACTCAGTTCTCTTGTAGTACGGCAGCATATCGAGCTCGTCGTCGCGTCTCGCCACCCACACGCCGGTGCCAACACCGCCGATCAGGCACAAGATGAAGAGAAACAGCGATAGCCACAGCGTCTCCCTGTTCATCTGCTGCTCGAGCTTGCTTCTCTTGGACTGAGCACCCGAGCTGTTAAGCATTGCCTTGGTCTCCTTCCCTGTATAGACAGCAACTCCCACGATCCACTGCGTGTTCTTGATCTCGCAACCCCTGAGAACTATGTTGTTTGGTCCCAGCGGAAGACGAGTCCCTGTCGGATTATCCGTGTCCAGATCTAAGTACGCCTTAAACTCGTAAATATTCCGGTTGGGATGCTCGCAGTGCACCACCCCGTTAATCGGTTGGTCCTCGGGATGCCTCAAGAGCGTCTCCTGGTGAGCATACCTCGTCTTGAGATTCGACTCTCCATCCAGGTTGGTCGTCTGGACGTACGCCACCCCGCTGGGATCGCTCGTCCCCAGCAAAACCAAGTCGCACGGCATCGTCTCATTGGCAAACACCTTGAGCAGCTCGCCAACTTGGATCTTCTTCCACTTCTTGGCCCGAAACTCCGACTCCTGGAAGACGTGAGCCAGGCGGTTGTTCTCGACGAGGTCCGACTTGTGACGAGCCCAATCCTCGTAGCCATCTTTCACGGCCGTGACGAAGAGCACGAAAGCCAGTGGGATGATCGACGCTGTCCGACCGAAAACGGCGAGCTGCGGGATCTGGTTGAGCACCGCGATGACGAGAAAGTAGACGTAGGCCAGGCGACGAAACTGCTCGAAGAGGTTCCGCGGGAGAAAAGAGTACCAGGTGTATTTGCTCGTCCGCACCCTGTTGCCTGCCATCTCATAATTCTCGTTGGTCCGGCCGGGATCGTTGACGTAAATCACTCGCTGGGCCGCCTCCTCGATCTTCCCGCTGACTGGAAGAATCGGCAAACTCGCTGATGGATTCCTCGAGATCCCCGCGCGGTGCGAAGGCGCTCGCGTCGATCGGAAGCTGGGGTCCTTCCTCAGCCGGGTGTTAGCGTTGCTGCTAGCCTGAGAGAGGCGATTGCTCGTCGAGGAAATCTCCTGGGAGCTGGCAGAGCGGGAGTGAGCGATGATCCCTGAAGAGGTGGACTCGATCGAAGACGGCCGTGCGGAGGAGTGGTGCTGGAGCGACCTGGAGCGCAGCATTTCCGGCTGTGGATTGGGAGGAAGAGGCGCTCGATGATCGGTCGTGCTTGAGACGTGGGTGTGCTGGGATTTCGAATGAGGCAGCCGCGGCGGCGGCGGCGGCGGCGGCGGCGGCCATCTCTCGCTGGAATTTCGAGACGATTCCACTCCTTGCGACGAATCTGCCGCTGCCGACGCTGTCGCTGGATCATCGGTCGGGCTTGGAAGTGGCGACGGCGATAATAAATGCCGAGACATAGAACAAAGAACTAACCTCCCTCCTTTCTAGCGCGGAGAATGAGAAGGATGAATCGCTCCTCCCGGCGGCTGGAGTGGAATCGCTGCTGCTGCCGCTTCGATAATCTTCGGCCACGCATCAGATCGGCGCAACACTCGTCGCGAAGTCAACAGTGAACGCCCAATCCTGTCCACATCCACCACCTATACAAAGAATTTGTCGCAGAAAGCAGCAGGCATTGAGAAATCCCGAGCTTTAATCTAGAATGCGCTCGAATCGAGACAGCTGCTGCTGGCCAGTGGCGAGGAATCCTCCCAAACCCTATCTCTACTCTATAGTCGCGCAAGAACCCTAATTCCCAACAAGAGAAATTCAATACACGCCACGTTTGACGGCCACCCCATTCAAACCGAAGCTTCACACACGGAGAAGGGTGGACGCTTCCCCGGTCAAAGGGAAATCTAATGACGTGGCGGATGCCGGCTACTGGAATTTAAAAGTGCATATTCTAGCGTATATTCTTTGGGTTCGCGCGAAATGCGACTAGCGCCCAACGGGATCGCAAATCTCTCTCTTCCTGGCGCCGCCGCTCATCAGCCTGGATCCTACGAGGTCAGCTATAAGATCCTCCATCACCGATCGAAAGATCATCCTCTCCAAATCCACTCCAATTTCGATGCTATCGCTTGTCAAGGCCCTCCACTTCCCGCCTTCTGTGCTCATGTCCACCTCTACGAGCTCGTCGACCATCCCCAGCGTCATCTCTCGCCACGAGAGGATGAAGCTGCTGACTTCGGCCACCAGATCCTCGCCGAGCGGTCTCTGGGCGATCGAGCTGCTGCTGCTGCTTGCTAAGATGACGCTGCTGCTGCTTGCGATGATCGAGCTCGCGCGGTTGTCGTCCCGGAATGGATCCAGCACCAGGTCCAGAGCCTCGGCGATGCACTCGTGCATGAGCTTGTGGCACGATCCGGGAGCTTCCAAGCACCGGACTTGAGAGGAGTCACTGCTCGACACGAATTCCACCATTCCCTGCTGCTCCTGCTGGATTGCTAGCTGCTTGTCGAGCCTCTGGAAGATTTCTTCCGTGCATGGGACCGTCGACGGCGTCTCGTCTACTTCCTCGCCGGTAAAGCCTGATGCTACCAGAACTTCTCTAACGTAGAACTCTATCTCCTGCCCCTCGCAGCTCGCTGCCTCTTCTACTCCGACCTCTGGAAAATCTGGGAAGCAGCTCGTAACGCTGCTGTAACTTTCTAAGTCTAGATTTGCCTTGCAATCGCTGATGCTGCCGACGAGAACTTGATGGTCGCTTCCCGTGAAAATACTGTCAGCATCAGACTCCAAAACACGCTTGCTATCTGTGATACGATATTAAGACTTGAAATAAGAAAATCAAAGCTGTTGCTTACCGTCATCGAGTTCCTCGCAGCTAGTGGTCACTTCTGATGGAAACGGCGATTGCAAAGCCGAAAAGTCCAGCACAGAAACTGGACTCGGTTGTCCACCATCAACTTCGGCAGTACCTGTTTTCGAATTAGCTTCAGCATCTGAAGAAGGAAGGGCCAAAGGAGTCGCTGTTGTGTGCTTCTCGTCATCTTCGAACTGAAAAAGAATTATAAACTGTGAGTGAGAGTGGCTGACAAGCCACAGAAAAAAGAGTACCTGAAGAACTTTGCAGGGAAGGTCCTCCGTTTGATCGATCTCGAAGCGGCTCTGGGGCTCGATAGGCGACAGCTCCATATCAATAACGTTGCCATCGTCTTCATTCGCAACTTCTTCGCTCATTTCGAAAGACGAACTCTTTTTGCCACTCAGCGGACTGTCACCTATGCTCGTCTTGCCAAGAGATTTAGACAGAATGGTCTTGAGAATTTCCTCCAAGCTCTTGTCTGCGATCATGTCTGGCTCAAAATGCATCCTTTCAACTGCCTGAACCTTCTCTGGAGATACATCAAGCACTGGTTCCTCCAGAACGTTGTCTTCTTGCAGATTCATTCGATTCCAATCCTTAGTCACGTCCAAGGAAACCACATCCCGCTTAGACGTCTCTTTGAGATTTCGTCCGGGGCTTGATCCACCGGATCTCGTCTGCCTCTCGTATGCATGCTGAATGTGATCGTTACTGCTTCTTTGCTGCTTTGGACATTCCATCGCCTTCTTCTTGGAGCTTGACACTGTTTCAGCTTTGTTTAGTGGCTTCCGTCGGAGTAACGATTTCATCAACGAGTTGTCGTTGTTCTTGTTTGGCTGCGGCTTTACGCTTTCTTCATCCTTACTAGACGACAGTTTCTTTGATGCTTGTTTCTCGCCTACGCTGCTTCTGCTGCTGTTGTTGTTAGTCTTGCTGGTCTCTCCTTCTTTAGGACTGGAGCTCTTTGGCTGCTTCCGGGTCTTAAACAGCCGATCGTAGCTGAGAAGGCTGCTGCTCTTACCATCCTTCTCTTCCTGCGCATTGCGTATTTGCCTTGATGTTTTGCTCTTTTGTTGTTCCTGCGGCTGTTCCTGAAGGTTTCCACGTTGAACTTGTGCCGTTCTCCGTTGATCAAGCGGCGGCTTCCTTGGCTTTTGAGCGCCAACTTCTGTGGACGTCTCTTGAAGACTGATCGGCCCCTGACGCTTCTCCCTCTTCTCCCTCTTCAACCGAACTTCCTTCCCACCGCTTACTGGAGTCGTCGTTGAGGAAACAGAGCTTTTACCACCACTATGGCTACTCTCCTGTTGAGACGTAGGTTGTAAAGGCTGCGGGGAGCTCTGTACTTCTTCCCTCACACTCTTACTACGAAAAAGCGATCCCCTGGAAGGTGGTGTTGGGGGCTGCTCTTCCTTAACGCTTCCGCTTCTTGAAAGTTTTGGAGGACCAACAACCTTTTGAAGTTTTGCCGCAGAGCTGCTAACAATAATCCGGTTCTCCTTGCTACTCGAGGCCTGTGAATCGCTCAGCGAGTCATCATCACCGTCCTCTCGAACCTCGCACGCTGTAACAACTTCTTCCAGCCTGGGAGACTGTTGCTGTGGCTTACTTGACGTACTTTTCGTAGGAGTACCTCTGTCGGCAGCTTTGCTTCCACTTTTGCTACTGGTCTTGCAAGGTAACAGTGAACCCGGGCCTCTTGTCAACCCGCTACTTCTTTGGACCTCCTGCTGTTCTTTGGGCTTCTGTTGCTGTGGAGCCTGTTTATTGGTTTTCGGCAAACTTTTTCTCAACTCGGCGTAAACTCGATTGCCTCCACTTTTCGCAGATGAACTCGAATTCTCAGTGGCACCTGGAGCGTTTTCCAGCAACGGACGCGAACGACTGGCTTGAATCCCTGGTTCAAGAATTCTAGCAGCGGCCCCCATAAGTAGAGCAGTCCTCCTGTGGCTGTTCTGACTTTTTATCGGTGGGGCTACCTTGTTACTGCTCTTTGAAGGTGACAAGATAGACGCAAATGGAATTCCTGACTTTTTCGGCGACAACGGAAGCTTCGCAAACTTCTGCATGGGATCTTGATCTTTCCTTGCGTTCTTCGGCATTTTTTCTTCCACCCGCACCTTGTTTCCTGGTGAAGATTCCATCTCCCTTCTAATTTTCCTTAACTCATCTGGCCGCTTTTGAAGAAGATCCTCCATCATTTGAAGTTCCTGATACTGTTGCATTATTCTGTGTTTCTCCTGACTCTGCTGCTTGAAAAATGTCTCTTTCGTTTGAACCTCGGCCTCGGGAAGGGATTCCAAACCCATGAGACGTGCAACAATTCCTGGCTTCTTGCTTGATCCATACTCAGACGATTTCTCAGAACCGAACTCGGACTGCGACTCGCTGTTTGAATGCACCCCTCGGTTCTCGTCGGCTATCTGAAAGAACAGTTTGAATCATTTTTAAAACCACTAAAGGCAGGCACGGAGCACGGAGAGACATACCAGCAAGAGCTTTGCCATTGGAAGCTTTTCGTCGTTGAACTTATTGCTCGGAGGCCTCTCTGTAACGAAACCCGAAAAGAAAAAGAAAAAGAAAAGAAAAACAAAACATTAAAATCAAACTCAGAATCGCGACAATGAGATCTGCTTGAGTTTGAAACGAACCTGCTGGAAGCGACTTTGTGGAGAACAGATGTTTCCCAGAGAGCCTCCTGTTCCAATCGAAGAGCTGAAAAAACACACCGACGCATCCCCCGACTTTGGGAGGCTTCCCATCTGTATTTGAAAGGCTGGAGAGCAGCCTCCCAGGCGTATCGGTCATCTCCTGGCCGAATCGATCTCGGAACGCCTAAAACACCCCCTGCTCTCGAAATGCTGTTCCTGATCCTCCACACTCAATCTTCGCCCAAATCTGGTTCCACAACCATCTTCGACTGTCCCTGCTCCCAATGTAAAAAGCCAGACAATGTCCCTACTACTTTCCCTCTTTGCGACTCGCGGAAAAACCCAGGCAGACACACACAAGGGAGGGAGCTGTGCAAGCGGCCAAAGCCTCGCAACAACTCAAACGCAAAGCGACAGGATACAGACAGACAGCAGACACAAAATGCCCAATCCGTTTTCCAAATGCCAGAAGGAAAAAAAGGAAGATACTCAAAGAGAAGACGAAGAGCAAAGAAGCAGCCGGCAAGGAAAGAATGGCACGACGCTAGAGCTAAAGCTGTGCTTTGTTGGCTCTAAGAACAAAACAGCAAACGGTATGACGGCTTTCCACAATCAAGCAGCCAGAAAAGGGACAATGCAGGAACAAATGCAGCGCTGGAAAGCCTGCTCCACCCTCTTGCCCGCCTGCATTCCTCCCAGACACCGAGAGCGACGCATCGCCCTACTCGCAGCTCATGAAAATCACCCGCTCAAACCGATCAAACGCATGCGTCACACAAGCACACAAGTAGAAAGTCCCAAAAACCACCCCTCTCGCAGGAAAGCCCCGGATCTCCAGCCGCCGCCACTCCTGGCCGCGATTCAGCGGAGACCGAGCGGCGCACCAAGAATCTCGACGCCTGACTGCCCTAGCCTTACGCTGAAGCGCGATCGATCGCCGATGCCGGTGGCGAGGAGATCTTCTTCCATGGCGGTGGTCTGATCGCTCCTCCACGCGCTCCTCCTCCTAGCCTAGGTCACCGAAGCCCGGAGCGCTGTTTGATTTCCATTTCCATCCCTCCTGTGGGGCGAACTTCGAGGAAGCCCATGAAAGATTCAAAATCGAAGAGGAGGAGGCCTGTTTAATCCTTAATCACGAGATTAAACAAAACAAACCCGGTTTAGGACATAAGCAAAGGGCTACTTTAGCTAAATCTGGTGGAGCCGCCAGGTTTAGCGTTACCTCGATGTCGCGGCATTGCTTGTTTGCTTCCCGTGCCTGGGGGAAGCCAGCTGGCCAAACACCAGCCAAAAAGGAGACGAATATACCACGGTACGTGCATGCTGTGTCAACCACGTAAAAAACGAATAATCGGCCTTTGGTCTTTATGGCCGCTTCTAGTGGTGTCACGCACACACGGTACGGACACGGGGTCCCCCCAAATCAACCTTGCGTGAAGTAAAAATGGCCGTTCTTACAAGAATCAAAAATTTTGAAAAGGAGAGATCTATGTTACAGTTACTGGCAGGAGGGTTGAGAAATTCAATTCCACCACCTTATCTCGAGTTAAATATTCGTATGACTCTTTGTTTTTCTAGGGCAACAGGGGGAGGAGTCAGGGTGGCATAATGGCTGGCTGGCCCCCCTGACTGACTGCACAGAACTCATGCTGGAATCATCCTCTTCTAGATGGCAAGCTTCTCAATGTATCAACTAAAACATCTATATTTAAGAAAAAGAGAGATCTTTTAGATGAAGATATTCTCAATTCATGCTCATCTCATGTGCTCAACAGGAACCACTTTTGCGCTGAAAGCGACTTGCAAATCCACCCTAATCATTCCATGTGGCCACCATTGTTTTCGCATGATCTTAACTTCATGCCTTTGAGTCGATCTTACTTTACCCTTGGAAAGAAATCTCTATGCTTTTTTTTTTCTTGATTCCACGAGGTAGTGGCGACTTAAAACTCGGGAGGAGGAGCTCTCGATTTCCCTGCACTAAACAAGTTAAGGTGTTATTTTTTTTTATAGAATAGAGTGTTCTTGAGAAACTCGTACCTCCTCCTCCCGGAGTGTTCTTCTCGAGGAGCTTTGACTCGCCACGCCACTCCTGACTCGTGTTGGATTCAGTCAAGGATTCCAGCTAGTCCCATCTTCTTGATGGTGAGCCTGGGTATTGCGGGAGCGCTGGAGAATCCTAGGCTTGCCCAGTATTTCCTTGAGTACTCCACAACCGTGTGCTTGTCGATCGACAGAGACTTAGCCGTGGTGTAATATCCCAGCCACGATTGGTACGCCCTGGTTCCAATCGTTTGGTCGATGTCTGAGATCACTGACCTTAGCTGCAAGAGTTGGAGCGAAGGACTCGGCGTTTGTAATTTTAAAACTTCTCCTAAAGTTTTACGTACCTTCTTCGACAAATCCAAAACTTTTGGTGTCTCCATTCGCCCGATTGATATGTCCTTCAGCTTTCTCAGGAAAGGCTCTTCCCAAGGGAGTAGAATCAAAACTCCCTGCCCCTCCTTTCCTGCACGGCCAGTTCGTCCAAGGCGATGGATATACTGCTCCCGAGCTGCTGGAACTCCAATCTGGAAGAATGATATGTCAACTCTCGTCGCCTTGAAAACTTGTCATTCCAAACCTGAACCACCAAGGTAACGTCCGGATAATCAATCCCTCGAGCGGAGACATCCGACGTAAACATAATGAGTCCGCCTTTGCAATTACGAAACTCGTCAGATACGCGAGTGCGATACGTTTGTGTCTTGCGCGAATGTATTTCTCGTACGTTGAAACCCAGCTTCTGATAGAGTGCAGCCATGTAAGCTGTTATGTTTGCAGTAGTGCAAAACACCAGAACCTGAGAATCGAGTTAGCAGTCAATCATGATTTTGAAATGGACGCATCACCTTGTATTTCGGTTCCACAGCGATGTGTTCTTTCAGAATTGAGTATAACACCGCAAACTGACTTTCTTGTGGAACGACAGCATACTTCTGGTTTACCTGTTTGACAGAAGCACACAAATATTCAGAAGTGAGCGATAGAAAACAAAGCATACCATTGCGTGTGTTTCAGTGTCCTGTCCGACAGTATCAACGAACTTATGATCCGGCTTCAAAGCCAACTGAGAGATGCTATGCACCTGTGGAACAAAGCATAGTAAAAGAACCATGGTGAAACGTGGAGATAAAATACTTCTTTGGGAATGGTTGCCGAGAAGAGAAGCGTTTGACGTTTTTTTGGAAGAGCTTTTAGGATCTCGGTGAGATTTTGACGGAATCCCATGTCCAGCAAGGTGTCTGCTTCGTCAAGAATAAGGATTTTCACGGATTTCAACTGATCGGCAAAGCCTCTCGCATTTTGTATGTGATCTAGTAGCCTTCCCGGTGTGCCAACCAAAATCTGGAAAGCGGCAAAATGTTGTCAAAAACCACAAAGCGTATTTGCATTTACCTGGCAAGGCTGGAGCTTTATCTTCTTGGCTTCCATGACAGAGCTGTTCCCACCTATAGCAGTCTGAGCTCCCAGTTCATTGTGGAATTTCATCAAGGTTTGAGCCTCAACAGCCGCTTGCATCGCCAGTTCTCTTGTCGGACAGATGACAAGAGCGCGAATGGGATTTTCATGATAAGTTTGCGCATTCTTGCTCGCCAGAATGGTCTCAATAGTCGGAAGCTACATATACACACAGTTTTATAAGAAAGAGAAAACGAAACCGCACAATAGCAAGTACCAACCAAGAACGCAATCGTCTTCCCCGTGCCCGTTTTTGCCTTGGCCAGAACATCCTCGCCTATACCCAAGTAAAAGAAACCATGATCTAGAAAACCAGAGAAAGAACTAATACAAGGCAGACCTTTGAGAATCAATGGTAAAGTCGCTTCTTGCACCATTGTCATCACCTCGTAGCCCAGCACATTCTTAATCGCCTTGAGCGTGAGAGCATGAACTTCAAACTGATCAAATCTGGGAAGAAACCCAGAAAATATCAAGCCACAGAAGAAGAGTTAGTCCGAAACTCACCGTGAATTCGATAGATGAGACTTCTTGCCATTGTCCACAGGAATGCTCCCCTGGCTTGAAAGAGGAGGCGCCGGAGATGGAGGCGCTAGCGACGTTGATGGAGGCGCGAGCGCATCCGCTACGCTCACCTCCTTCTTTCTCCTGAGGCGCCGGGCCGCTCGCTCGTCCTGGTCGACGACAGCAGCCGCGGCAATCGAAAACCCACGCGCATTTACCCTGGATTTCTTCGCTCCAGCTCCAAATGCCGCCATTCCAACACTGCTAATGGCACCAAGCGGCTGCGCGCGCTTGAGCCCCATGGCTCCAGCTAGGCGCACTAGCTCCATGGATAGAAAAATGGGAGGAGCCTACCTAAAACCCTAAACCCTAGCCGCGCAATAAACAGAGAACACAAAGTATTTCAAAGAAAATTTGGGGACAAATCGATCAGCCAGGGCCGACCTTTGGAATGTCGTAGTGCTCGCTCAAATTCGCGAGGTACTGATTAAACTCCTCCACTCTTTGCCTGTGCGATTTCGAGGCCATCTTCGCCAGTCTCGTCTCCTCGAGCTTGGCCTTCTGCTCGTGATACCTCTTCTCCGCTGGGGTTCGATGATCTTCCACCACCGCCGGCATCATCCGCCCCTCCTCCTCCTCCTCCTCCTCGTCGCCGCCCAGATTTCTCCGCTGCTGCTGCTGCTGCTGCTGTTGCCGCTGGCGATTGTAGAGATCTTGGCGATCTTGGTCTTCTCCCTCCTCTCCCTCCCCAGGAGCTCCATCGCCGCCGCTGCTAACCCCATCGATTACCTCTGTTGGCACATACTCGGATCGCCGAGGCTTCTTCTTCTTCTTCTTGGTGCCGCTCACATCCAGCGCCCGCCCCTTGAGCTTGAGCTTCCCCACAACCACGCCATCGTAAGACATCTAGCCTAAGAGCCCTAAAATTTGGCCCAGGAGCCCTAAAACCTTCGGCAAAAGGGCTAACGAAGAATATACCGATGCGGAAAAGATGCTTTTATGTTAGCCAACTGGTTTAATGACTAGTTTGCATAATCCAGCCCCTTTTCTTTTGTGTGCCCTAATTACAAATTCCTCCAGATTCAAGCTGACTTGATCAGCTCCAAGAGTGCTTGCTGCTGTTGGAGCTAACAAAGCTCCTTGGATTTCCTCTCAGGCACTAGCGAAGGGGAAACAGGCCCTTTCAAAGTTCGTGTTCATGGAAATCTCTACTTGTAAGGTTTGCTTTCTCGTAGTTCTCTCCATTCTGTCTTTGTTTGTGTTCTTGATCTTGCCAAGGTTTTGTTGTCTTGTCTCGAGTGTTGTTTGTTCTATATGTTTGTGTTGCTGGAAATCCATGTTTTCTTTCTACATGTTTGCCAGCCACGGCCCGTTCCTGGGCAACTGGTGCCTGCTTCTCTGCCGTGGACGGCCTCCAGGCGGAACTTTTCTTTCGAGAAAGTTCCTGAACAATGTTTGCATGGAACTTAATGCTTGCGCAACTGCTGAAAGGAGCAGACATCTACTTGGAACTGGAGCGTGAGAGGGTTGGATGCCCGAGCAACGTGAACGGGCTAACCACAACATGGCGACGCGGCGCCGCTCTTCGAAGCCAAGGACGCCCCGACCTCGTCCTAGGTGTGGAACGCGCTCATTGCAGGATTCAGCGGACTAGATCAAAGAGATCCTTCGTGGACTCGTGCCGATTTGTACCGGGACGGGACCAGATGCCGGTGCGCTGCGACGACATTGGCTCATCGGAGGGATTGTCCTTGGCGCTGCTGGATCGCTGTTGCTGGCTGTTGCATCCAATTTCTCTCGGTTGGCGATCTATGTTAGAGGCACTTGATTTGAGTGAGAGTAGGCAATTCCGTTCATTGAAATCTAACTCGACAAAGTATGGCTATTCAGATCTTTGACATGGAAGATGTTCATTCTAGTGATTTTGTAGCTAGACTTCAGTTTTGGAACGGGAAAAAGCACCCTTCAGAAATTTGATAAAGGTTCATCACCACCATTTCTTCTAACAATGGCAAAACTATATAGTGAAAATATGAGCCACCCGAGGATAGGAGGGGATATACATTGTGCTTGGCGGAGCTGGGAAAAGTGCAAGAGCAAGTTGTGGTAATCTTCCATGGAGCTCATCCAAATGTAAGCGATGTGCACCTCTATTCTGTACATCTCGAACTTCTCAAAGTACGCCGATTTCGACTCATGGGTCACATTCGAGCATCTCTAGAGCTGTCAACGTGCAGTACGCCACAAGCTCTGGAGCTCGCATTCACAAAGTAAGAATATGTGTATTGTACTTTTAAAAAATATCGGTGCCGGATGAATGAAGAGCTGCGGCCTCTGGTGGGAACATCAGATTGCTGGGTATGTGGTAATCTCTCTTCTTGTCAGATGGATTACTTGAATGTTTGCTTTGGTTTTGGTTATAGGATTGGCGTGCGCAAAACACGTCCTTGGTGGTGGTGCTCGGGGACGCACATGTGTATATGTTTGGCGACGCCCTTGCGTTGGTGATGCTGTGCCGAAGTGGGAAGGATGAGAGGCTAAGTTCTCTTTACGATCTCAAAAATGATGCCACCACACAAAGCAGGAGTCGCCCTTTTATTACCACAAGGTAGTCAGAAATTTGTTATTCTGGAAGCTTGTGCACACAGGACCGGCTGCCTACAGCAGACTCTTACCTTATTGTTGCGTCAAGACACCTAGAGCGTCACATAGATAGCGATTTTACAAGCGTTTTTGCCACTCGGATTGACGCACTTGTGAGTATTGTAATCCGCGAACGAGCTTGTAATGGGCGAACTAGTACAGGGCCTCGAGGAAGCTTGCCGCCAGATTGCCGGTACAGAGACTGATGATTGCAGGACATTCCAAGTAGTTCCTGTTGGAGAGCTGCTGCGACAGAAAGTGGCCAATGGAGTAACTCAAGAGGTGACTGGACAGCTACACAGCGCCGCAGAGGACAAAGAGGAAGGGCCAATCGAACTATATATGGATGAATTTGAGGCTAAAGACGAAGATGAATCTGGAGACAAAGATGAGTCCGAAGACGAAGACGAGAGGCTAGAGTTATTTGGTGTTATACCCCATGGTTTGCGCCCCAGTACATCCATAAACTATTAAAGCTATATAATTATATTACTGTTTTCGGTTAATGGGCCCCGTTACCTCTTGCGAGCCTCTTTTTTTCGTTTTTCTTTTTTTGTATTTCCGAACTGTAGTGGCTTTGATCAGGAAGAGGACCTCAAGCTTGTTTGTAAAGTCGGCTCTTGCAAGTTAAAACGGATTAAAAACGGGCACATAATGGAGTCGGACGGAGTAAATGATGCTATTGTTTATCCTGTTGGAGGTCAGTTTGGCATTTGACTTAAGATTTTTTCGGTCTTTCCAGAAATACGTAACGTTACTAGTTTTCTTATTTCGTTTTTGACCTTTTATCTGACTTGTTTCTCAGCCCTTCAAAAGGCTGCCAGCATCTCAAATCATTGCTACTCAAGGCCCAAAATACTTCATAGACTGGGAGACGGAAGCTGCCATGTATCTTGGTCTCACTTACAGGTATGCGGAGTGCGTAGAAAATTTGATACACTGTGCATTTGCTATTATAGGGACACTATATCATTTGCTTGCGAGGAGGGCGTTAAGCACATAGCGCTCCCAGCTATCTTGCGCAGATGTCGCGGGTTTGTACTCACGCCTTACCTCTTGTATACTGAGTTTCCATTGTATTTCAGGTTTCCTCTGGATAAAGTGGCAGCTGTAGAAAGCGTACAAAAGGCACTGAAAAGTAAGCTGCCCTGAATTAGGTATGCGTTTTTATCTGTGTACAAAATTGTAGGTTCACTTTGTCATAAAGGACGAACCCACCTTCAGGGCCTGGTAGCTGCAACAGACCTCCTTGCATTTACGGATTATGATGGCTATGTATCTTGTTGGAGCACCGGACTTCCCTTTTCATACACTTCCGAAGGGATTCCAACTTATGATCCATCACACTGTGGCCAGAAGAAATGTCCTCTCAAATCCGCTGAAAAATGAGAAGGGAAGTCTTAAAAAATGGATTAGTGTTCAAAAGCCATCTTTCAAATCTATCTAGAACAAACCTTTGAGAGTGGATGCTTATGCTGTGGGATGATCTTAATGTGAGGAAATAAATTGAAAGAGTGGGAGGTTACAGTTCACAAATCGCTTGGCAATAGATTCAATAGGAAATTTTGTAATTATTTCCGGGAAAAGAGTGAAATTTCACTGCATGTAATTAATTGTCTTCATGTCTTTGGATGTCATCCTTCCGAGGAGCTTGTGGTGTGTGTGGTAGGCTGACATAAGTGACATCTTAAGCCATGTCCCCGTTGACATCCTTTGGTGTTGACTTGTTGTTAGCCGTTTTAGGAGCAAGCCCAGTCAACAATCATCATGCAAATCTGCCGACTGAAACAAACTGCACGACAATTGCCGACTTCTGGCCAGATAACTAGTTTCTGAAGAAATTAAAGGAAGATACATCTCAATGGTTAACTTTCACAAGAGTGTTAACTTTATCAATTTTTACAATGCACTTTCTGACACTTAAGAGGTGAAGCGATCCACTCGACTTGCATTTTTGGATCTATTGCCTGTTTACCTATCAAATCTCATGTAAAAGCTGCATCCACCATGCAAAAGAGATCTTCAATGGCATCTAGGAGAAAGATTGCTACACCTGAAATTTCATGCTCATGGCATATGCCTAACAGAGCTATGTCAGGGATGCCAAGCGTTTTTTTAGTGGCAAGACCAGACTCTCATGCTCACTACAGATGTTTTCCTAGGCATATTTGACCAAATGCTGGACAAGGGACTGATTGCATCTAGTCAAACACGTTTGAGAAAGTATATGTAGTAAGCATGGAAGATTAGCAAATGTTTTTTTTTATGCTTTGTGGTTTTTCATATTATCACTTCGTAGTTTATTGAGATATTGGTAAAATATTGTTAACACTTGCTTTAGCAATTGTAATCTTTTAGTATTATTGATTAAAATTTATTCAAATTAGTTTACATTTTGATATATTAATTGTTACTAATAGATTGGGATGTTATTTTCTTTGAGTGGTACATTCATGAGCTTTGCAAAGGCTACACAAAGGAAACAGATTAGTAAGAAAAACATGTGAATGAGGTGGTGAAAAATATATTATACCATAACAATAGCCAACACAATAAAGACTTTACTTTACTATGTTGAAATTGGAATTACATTTAAGCAAGGATGGTCAAAATAAATTTGATTCATAAGCAACTAATCTAGCCACAAAACTTGATAAGATTTTGGTGGTGTACAAACAAGTGGATTAGAATAAAAATAAAGTGGAGAAATTTGCTAATAAACATTATTAATTCTAAGAATATAGTTGGAAATATCATCTTTGTAAAGTAATCTTCTTTCTGTTATGTGAGTAGATAAATACTTTAGTGCCATTGTGAAGTTATAGATGTGAAATTTTAAACCACATTAGTAAAGTAGCTTATTGAATACAGTTGTTATCTGGTACAGATGGGCCTCATTTATTATATGGTTGGGGGTAAAAATTCATTTAATATTTTGATTTAGCCATTTAAAAAATACATTATCTCAAAGTGAAGAATATAATGATTCTTTGATATATAGAACTGTGAATGAATCAAGAGCTTGAGTGAAATTCCCTAGAAAAAGTGATTTAAAATGTAATTCATCTTTGGGGCAAAGACATTGTTGGTGAAATTTGTTAACGTGGTCAACATGGGTATGTTAAAGGATCCTTATTTTACTTAAGGGTTTTATGGAGCCAAAACTTTTGGCAAAAGGGATACGAAGAATATACTGATGCGGAAAATATGCCTCTATTTTACCTTTGACGCGGCTTCCCTTTTCCTTTACGGCCTGACCCGACTAGTTTTTAATAGCGCGATCGCGTTGTGTCGCTAGGGTTTTTGGAAAGTAAGAGTGCTATGATGGATCCGGAGATGATCCGCCTCGCGCAGGAGCAGATGAGCCGAATCCCGCCCGCCGAGCTCTTGCGGATGCAGCAACAGGTGAGCAGCGCTGTGGATTGATTAGGTTTACGATTGCGTTGTGCCTGGAGCAGATGATGGGCAATCCCGACCTCCTGCGCATGGCAACCGAGGGAATGAAGAACATCAGGCCCGAGGATTTGCGATTCGCGGCCGAGCAAATGAAAAATATGCCGAGTGAGCAAATAGCTGACATGAGCGCCCGGATGGCCAATGCATCACCCGAGCAGATTGCGGCCATGAATGGAGACGCCACTGCCCTGATGCTGAAGAACCAGGTATTCTCGATCGAGTTCTTGTGCCTTCGGAGCTAAAAGAATCCTTTTTTCTTTCTTTTCCAGGGCAACCAGCTTCATGGATCAGGACAATTTTATGAAGCCATAGACAAATACAAAGAGGTGTGTGCGATTGAGATCATGGATGGGGATTTTTCCTCACACGTATTTGGCAGGCAAAGCTAAAGTCGCTTGGAGTGAGCTCCGCGGCAGCTTCGAATTTGCGTGTGACTTGCTCGCTGAATTTGATGTCATGCTACCTCAAGACCTCGCAGTACAGCAAAGCCATCAGCGAAGGCTCGGAGGTTCTTGCTACAGAACCGAGGAACTTGAAAGCTTTGTACCGTCGTGGTCAAGCATACAAGGAACTGGGAAAGCTTAAGGTAACCGCGGTCACTTACTTTCTTGGGCTCTTTTTTTTAAAAGACCTGTTCTTTTGTAGCTTGCTGTAGCGGATTTGACCGAAGCTGCTGCTGTCGCGCCTGACGATGAGACTGTAGCAGACGTCTTGCGCGTAGCAAAGGAAGAGCTAGAAAGGGAGGGTGACAATGTGGAAAAGGTACAAAAAGAGGATGACTACGTACAACATAATAGTGATGGTATGTATTCAACTCCGTCTAGTAGTTCGTCTCTTTAACGCGATCGACGCAGGGCCTATTATTGAGGAGATCACTGAAGAGGAGGCTGAGAGACTGACGTCTACAGTATCAACGCGCAGGGAAGAAGTTGCTAACCGTGCAACAGAGGGTGAAACGATGCCAAGGGAGGCCTCCACGAGCAGCTTCTCAGGCATGTCTCCACCTAATGACCAAGCCTACGCTGAAGCTATAAAATCAATGAAGCAAAATCCTGGGTTATTAAGGTACTTTATCTGCTTATACAGACCATCTTCTTTCCGTTTGCTCATCATTTTCACTTGCAGAAACATGCAGTCAACTATGTCGTCTGTGGATCCCGAGCAGCTTGCTGCCATGAGCGGCGGCAAAATGACCCCGGAGATGGCAAAGTTTGCAGCGGACTTGATGAAACACATGTCACCCTCCGACTTGGAAAGGATGGTCGACATGGCGAGCGGTTTGAATCTCAACGGAGGTGCTCCAAGCAGCAGCAGCAGCGGGCCGGAGCCGACAAGGCCCGCAGCTCCAAGCGCCTCTACCGTTCCTTTCCAGCCTTCTCCTGGCATGCTCCAACCCGACGAGCAGATGCGTCGGCAGATGAAAGATCCAGCAATGCGAGAGGTACAAAAGTCGTTTCCTTTTTCATTCCCTGTGGGTGACGTGTGTTTCCTTTGCAGCTCATGTCATCGATGATCAAGAGCATGACACCCGAATCGATGGCCAGTATGAGCGAGCAGCTGGGCTTGCAACTTACACCTGAGCAAGCGGTAGCGGCACAGAAAGCGATGGCCAATCTTACACCAGACCAGTTGGATAGATTGGTAAGCGATCGCTTTCGTCTAGCTTTCTTTTATTTTTTCTCTGACTGGAACTCTTTTACGAACAGATGAGATGGACCGAACGAGCTCAAACGGTGACGGAACAAGCCAAGAGAGCCAAAGCTTGGATCGTGGGTAAACCGGGATTGATGCTAGCGATCTTGATGCTCCTCGTCGCGATTGTTCTTCACTATCTGGGATTTATAGGATGAGAGTTAAGGAGCTGCAAAAGTAGCTCTGGCCGAGAAGGACCAAAAAGGCTGTCTGTAATACATCTGAAAAATAAAGTCTGCATTTTTTCGCGAGGCAATAGCTGGAGCCTGGCAAAAGAACTTACCGCCGACAAAAGAGTGTTACACAGATTTCTCGTGCGCCATCTCTGTCCTGGGATCGAGAGATCACAAAGGTTCCTCTCTTGATCGCGCGTAAGCTTTGCAGGCCTGGAGGAAGATGGAACATTGCTTTCATTCAAAGCCATTTATGATCTCCAACGAAAAAGAAGCAAGCCACGCGATTTCAACCGCTGCTGCGGTCCTTGGCGTGGAGCTCGATGGTTGCTCGCGACCACCTGAGGTTATAAAAATGATCCAGGAGAATGCTTGATCGATCCTCTCATCTCTCCGCTCTCCTCTCTCCTCTCCTAGCAGTTCTTCTCTGACTTTGAGCTCTCAAGTTCTTCTTGCGAGAATGGGGAGAATGGTATTGAAACTCCTCTTCTTGATCCTCCCAGCGATCGCGCTAGCTCAAAGAAACACAATGTTCTTCCCAGAATTTAGCTATTACAAGGGAGGAGGCGGCGGCGGCGGAGGCGGCGGCTCTCCCTCATATGGTGGCGGCAGTGGCGGTGGCTCCTCTCCATATGGAGGTGGCGGCAGTGGCGGTGGCTCCTCTCCATATGGAGGTGGCGGCAGTGGCGGTGGCTCCTCTCCATATGGAGGTGGCGGCAGTGGTGGTGGCTCCTCTCCATATGGAGGCGGCGGCGGCGGTGGCTCCTCTCCCTATGGAGGCTCCACGCCATCGTATGGAGGTGGTAGTCCATCCGGTGGAGGCTACGGAGGAAATGGTGGCGGTGGCTCGTCCCCGTACGGTGGTGGCTCTGGCTCGAATGGAGGCTACGGTGGTGGTGGTGGCGGCGACAATGGCGGAGGCTACGGTGGCAGCAGCGGTGGCAACAGCGGCGGAAGCGGGTATGGCGGCGGCAGCGGCGGTAGCGGCTATGGTGGCAATAGTGGCGGTGGATATGGTGGCAACAGTGGCGGTGGATACGGTCCCAGCGGCGGTGGTGGCGGATATGGCGGCGGCAGCGGCGGCAGCGGCGGCTATGGTGGTAGCAGCGGCAGCGGCAGCTCGGGTGGCTGCTCAATCAAGTAAGCAAAGCTCTCGATCGATCTTGGAAGAACTTTTATCCCCATGGATTCGTTTTGCAGCTTCTGGAAAGACCATGTGGATGCATGGCCGGACGTGCTCAACGTGTACAGCACAATCTCCCAGGCGTTTGGAGGGGTTCCACAGATGATGGACGGCAAGCAATCGCTCCTGTCGGCCCTGGAGGCGCGGGGGAACGACCCCTACAGCTCGCTCCTCCGCCAGGGCACTGCCGCGCTCCTCAACTCGTACACGCGGAAGCACTTCCCCTACTCGCCCGACGCAGTGAGGGCCACCTTCGGCAAGGCGCTGGGGAGCAAGGAGGCGGCGGCAGTCCAGGCAACCAAGTTTGAGCGTGCAAATGGCAGCGGCTATGGAACCAACACCTTTTGCTTCTAAAAGATATAATCTGTATTCAATAAGTTTTATGGATATTAAGTTTGTGATCCCACGAATGTGACTACGGACGGCTACGGCAATCCCATGAGGTATATGAATAATGAATGTGATGAAAAGTTACCTGGCCAAATTAGTTGCATATCACCTTGCCACCTGAATTAAACCCAACTTTAATTGTTCTCTCAACTTTCTCTGGCACAAGCTAGTGCGATATATTCTCAGTACCATTTTACTACATGAGTATAAGTAATTTTTTGATCCTAATAAAAAAACATATTATGGGATAGTTCATTGTAACACTTGACATCATTGCTCTAGACATTTATAACAATTTTTCTTGTTTCTTCTTTATCTTCTCTCTTTCTTTTTATTTCTTATTTCTTTTAAGGTTAGTTGCAAAAAACCATAATATTACTTTATTTCTTGATAATAAAATTACTTTCACCTCTTGTAAAGAAAAGGAAAGCTCAAATATTTGATAGTTTCCAAGCCATATTGATTATGCTATATGAAAATTATTTCAAGTTTTTTTCATATATATATATATATATATATATATATATATATATATATATATATATATATATATATATATATATATATATATACATATGATGAGTGTGTGGTATATAAAAATTGTATATAAAAATATACACACCCAGAAAACTCTAGTATATATATAGGAGCGAGTGTTTTAATTTAAAACAATATCTATAAAAATCCCACTATGCTAATATTAATATATGGCATCGTACACACACACTTGCACCTCACAAAAGGGATGGAAGATAGTCAGGATTCTTTGGTGAACAAGTTGAGATCTAAAGGAATATCAAGAGGAGGCATCAATGGATCTGTAGATGGTGCAAATTGTTTATAATCTCCTTATATAAAATATTTCAATCATTGCATATGCACAATTTTTGGAGGATTAGTCTGTTAAACATCATGCCAAACCTCATAAACTTGCAGTTCAACTTGCTGCAACACTTGATACAGTCCCTTCCATTAAGGAATGAACCCTTTAAACAAATTATATACCAAAAGATTGGGAAAATGAACTAATATTAAGTCATCCACTTTATACTTTGTAGGTGAACTACAATGGGAGTTGTAGCGCCATTGTTATCTCACTTGTATGCAGTCTAAGTGTTTGGTAGATTTTGCTTGGATTAGTAGAAGAATGCTCATCAAATACTAATCTCAAGACTTAGCATCGGTAGCTCATAACTATTATGAAAATAAACTCAATTTTGTTGGCAATATCAAATCATGACTATATAAGAGTTTATATAGTGAAATACCAATAAAACTTTGCATCCCTATGATATACATTTACCAAAGAGATAACAAATACTGTTAAAACTTAAAATGCCTCAACCATAAATATAAAACTATTATCTAAAAGAATTTCTTCTAAATAGGAATGTTAGAACACCACTCAATTGAAGAGGAAGTATCCAACAGTAGTTGTAAACACGCTAACAAAAGCATCAACGAGTCAAGTAGTTAGAAGCAATAATGATATACTCATTACCAACAATTGACCATGGAAAAAGGCCTCATTAGATTAAATATTACCAACTCAAATGAATGGGAAATTGCAATTGACTCCAACTGTAGCATGAAGGGGAATATTATAAGTTTGGCACAAAATGCAGTTATACATATATTGGATAACATGATGTTGCATCTCTGGCCAATAGAAAGCACTGTGCAGCTTCTTAGTCACATGACAATGTCTTATATGTCCACCTATAATAAGAGAATCATGATAGGCATAGAGAAAGTATGGAATAAAGATCAAAGACACTACCAACCGTAAATGATCATTAGTATTCATCCCCATAAAATAAAGGTGGTCATCTTTAAGGCAATATTGAAAATGTAAATGCTAAAAAAGCAAATCATCGGCAAGTGATATAGAATTCTCAAACCCATTGTGAAGCCTTGGATTTACAACTCAACCTTTTGAGCCTCATAAACTTTGTCAAGAGAAGGTAAATTTTGCTCTGCATCTTGTGGACATTGAACATTAAGTACAACAACTGCCAAGGGCATGGAATCCTTGTCCAAAAAATCCACAAATGCTATAACAACAAATTCATCAAAAATATGAGAAAAAAGTAAAAAAGGAAGATGAGTTTGAGAAAGGGCTTTACCATTAGCTGTGGAACTCCTTAAGCAATAAACAACATCAAAATCTTATATTTTAAGCTTCAAAGCCCACCAAATAGTATAACTAACCAAGTTCCTTTACTTCACTAACAAAGTAACTATATGTTCAAAAGCCATATAGATATGCATGAAGTTTTTTGAAACCCTAAATTGTTATTAAACACTCCTATTTTTGTCATAGAGTAGTTCACCTCCGCTAATTGTAATATATAATTGATGTATGCAATGGGATGGTGTTGATTAGGCACACTAGCTCTTTTGCATCAACATACTTTCAAAACTAACATCTACGAGCAAAATGAAAGGTGAAGTATAGTCAGGATATGCCAAAACTGAAGGAGTCATTAACAACTCTTTGAGATCCATAAATGCTTACTGTAGCGCATGTGATCATGGGATGAGATTTGGATATACTGTCACTGTGGATCCTTGGAACCTTAGGGGATAAATGGGGATAAAATAGCCATTAAGGGCTCTCTCATCAAGCAATTGCCCCTTTTCCAGTTGGCTTAAGGGGAGAGAGATAAAGTGCGCTACACTTACTCACAATTTATGAACCAAATGAAAGACAACATTGACAAATTCAATAATTTTTGTAATGGTCTGTTATGATAAAAAAGATGATGACAAAATGGCCGAGATATTATATCTTGTCCAAGAAGTGTTGCACATCATTCACACACTTTGGAGTAAAATTAATTTATAAACTTTCATGAGAAATACAATACTCTAGATAAGTTGTGTCTTTTGACCCAAATATGTATTTTGACTTCTTTAGCTTTAAACTAACTTCTTGCAACCAATTTAACACTTTACAAATATCACAGATGTGTTCCTTCCACATCCCCTCTGAGTGGATCAAGATATCATTAATGAAATTAATAGTCATCTCTAGCATATCGCAAAGAACCTTGTCCATCATCTACATATGCGTGTGTATAGCAATTGCTATAAAGAATGAAAATTGGCTTTGCCACACTATGTAAATGTAGATGGCAATGTGTAACAACATATCGAGAAAAAAGAAGATAAACAGGAGATTGTATCAATCAACATAGGGAGAATAATAGGAGATTTCTTTTTAGAAAAATGAGTTTAAAAAGTAAACACTAGATGAACTGGTGCCAAATGATCCCCTTAATGATAATCTTAAAAGAAAGATGGAGGGGTCACTGATTTATTCACACAAGAACCCTTCATTTCTTGTGCAACTTTTTATTTCCAGAAGCATCTCAGTGTCTACATCTTCTACTAAAATAGCATCAACAGGACGTTGTTGATGCCAAGGTCTCCACCTAGGAAATGGAGGTCACTAATTCAGAAAACACTAACAATGCTAATAAATGTGACCAACTTCATTATATGTCT